TGTCCAGGTCGAGAAGGAACGCGACAAGGAGGTGAGTGACGATGAGGCCGAGGAGGAGAAGGAGGAAAAGAAAGAGGAAGAAAAGGAGGCCGAGACAGATGACGACAAGCCCAAGATTGAGGATGTTGGCTCGGACGACGAGGCCGACAAGGAGGGTGACAAGGACAAGAAGAAGAAAAAGAAGATCAAGGAGAAGTACGTCGACAAGGAGGAGCTCAACAAGACCAAGCCTCTGTGGACACGCAATCCAGACGACATCTCGCAGGAGGAGTATGGAGAGTTCTACAAGAGTCTCACCAACGATTGGGAGGATCACTTGGCTGTCAAGGTATTGATTGCAATCTGATGCTGTCACTGCTAAAAAAGAATAAGCTTAGAGTTATTTCAAGAGATGTGAAAATGCAATTTGCATTGCTTGTAAGATTTGTGCTATGCAGGTCTTGTACCACAAAACTGAATAAATGTTCCTTTCCTGGTCAATTGGGTATGGGCCAGGTTTTTACAATAATTTGTGAACCATTGCAGCAGTATAAACACGGCCTCTTGTAATCTAGATGTATTGTCTAGGTTGTGCATCCTAGTAAAAGTTGACGGATTGTTTATGGCATCTGTGAATTTTCTGTCTGCAGCACTTCTCCGTGGAGGGCCAGCTAGAGTTCCGGGCCCTGCTGTTCGTGCCACGCCGTGCGCCCTTCGACCTCTTTGAGAACAAGAAGAAAAAGAACAACATCAAGCTGTACGTGCGCCGTGTGTTCATCATGGACAACTGCGAAGACCTCATCCCTGAGTACCTCAGTGAGTACAACAACATTGCCAACTGTTGTGTTAAAATCAAGTTTTGGGAAGGCGATTGCTTCGAAAAAGTTGCAAAAAACACAGGGTTTGTATATGCCGTGTGATGGAATTGGATAAGCAAATACATCTTTTGGTTGTTTTCTCTAGACTTCATCAAAGGTGTGGTGGACTCGGAAGACCTCCCCCTGAACATCTCGCGAGAGATGCTCCAGCAGAGCAAGATCCTCAAGGTCATCCGCAAGAACATCGTGAAGAAGTGCATGGAGCTGTTTACAGGCCTTGCTGAAGACAAAGAAAACTACAAGAAGTTCTACGAGCAGTTTTCCAAGAACATGAAGGTGGGTGATGACAATCCTGAATGAGGAATGTAAGAATGAGTTGTCACGTTTTATCTCTTGAATCGATTCTTGGTTTTGTGTGTCATAGTCTGCCTGGTTTTGTTGGTCAAAAGGCATATTTTGCATGTGAATTACAATAAATAATAAATATACATATATTAAATGTGTATCTTGTGCTTAAGAATAGATTTGAATCGTTCAATGTTTTTATAACTTGCATGATTTTAAGTACATAGATTAATCATCACATGCATGACACCAATATCTCATTTACATTCAACTCGGCAATCAACACTACTGGTGTACTGTATGCATTGAATACTGTGTTAATGGAAATGAATGGTTATTTTTGTTTCAGCTGGGAATCCACGAGGACTCTCAGAATCGCAAGCGTCTTTCCGAAATGCTGCGGTACCACACGTCGGTGACGGGCGAGGATGTGTGCTCCCTCAAGGAGTACGTGTCACGCATGAAGGAGAACCAGAAGCACATCTACTACATCACTGGTATGTGTGCTTGACAAAATTGATCTTCAGAGCGTCTGTTGCCAAAAGTAAACTTTGTCGTGAAAAGTGTGGTTTTTCTTTCTATGGTTTAAGGAAGATGCCACTAAATTTTTTTTTATCCTGTGTATGTGCTTTTACCTAGGCTGTGTTCCGAGCTTTGTGAGTGAGAAATTATTTAAATTTAAGATCTGCCTTATGGCTCTGACATGACTGCACATCAAAGTTCACCCCCTCGTGTGATGAATTAACACGTAGGCTTCGTGACCAATAGCCATAATACAGCCATCTAACTAAAAAAACCTGTTATGGAATGTGGATTGAAGACTTTCCACTGGTGTATGCAGGGTTTACAATTTGGACTTGTATAGCGTCTAAATGCACCTCCATACCAAGCCACTACAGAGCCGTGAACATTTTATTGTCATGCACAGATAATAAAAGGTCATGAACTGGGGCAGCACAGCTGGCTTGAAAGGTAGTGTGGGGGGGAATCTTCCACCAAGTGAAAGTTGAAGCTTTGACAAATCCTTGGTGGCGACAGTGTGAAGGGGTGTATATATATAGGTGGAGCTGAAGGGAGAGAGGTGGGCAGGGGAGAGTCAAGGACCATTTGCAGTGATTAGTGTTTTTTTAAATTCAAGATTGCATTGGCAGCCTTCTAGGAAGTGTGGAGTATTGGGTTGAAGTGGCCTTGTTAAGCAGGTGAGAAAGATGGTTGTATTTTGTATTGCCTTGTATAGGCTGTTAAGTTCAGATATGAACAGTAGATTAGTGCACTGCACTATGTAGCTGGTGACCCGAGTTTGATTTCTAGCCATGACCAACTTTAGTGGTGTGGAGTTTAAACCAGTCCTGGAAACAACCCCTTCACATCACACTGATCAGCGTGGTAAAACAACTTGCATGATCAACACAACATGCGGAGGGCCTGCATTCAGAAGTGGATTTACAAAGGGCTGCAAGTTTTTTATTTACTAGGTACATATGGGGGAGCAGTGGTTGACTTACTGTGCTATGAACACGGCAATCTGAACTCGATTCCCGGCGACGGTTGACATCACTGGTGACTGATATCTGAACCAGTCTTTGACCACCCCCTTTCAACCCGCACTGACCAGCGTGGTGAAGTAAAATTAGACAACTTCCATAACCCACAAGGCATGTGGAGACCTAAATTCGACAATTTGATTGACCAAAAGGGCTTTTAGAAAAAATGTATGTGTAAAGCAACAACTTTTTGTGTTGTGTATTTAATGTTTTTGTTCCTGCATTTTTACAGGCGAGTCCAAAGAACAGGTGTCGAACTCTGCCTTTGTGGAGCGCGTGCGCAAGCGGGGCCTGGAGGTGGTGTACATGACGGAGCCCATCGACGAGTACTGCGTGCAGCAGCTCAAGGAGTTTGACGGCAAAACGCTCGTCTCGGTCACCAAGGAGGGGCTGGAACTGCCTGAGGATGAGGACGAGAAGAAGAAGCAGGAAGAGGCTAAAGCGAAGTACGAAAACCTCTGCAAGGTGGTCAAGGAGATCCTGGACAAGAAGGTGGAGAAGGTGAGGTCTATCGAACTGGTTTAATCATGCCCAACACAGGGGTTGCTTGGCCTAGGGCAGGGTTTCTCCAAGTCCAGTCTCTGCGACCCACAACTGTCCCTCTTCCAAGCTTACAATTTTGCTTACATTTCAAAAACTAATTAGGTGGTTACAAAGTAGCCTATGCTTGATTGTGATTGCAAAATCATTGGTAATTTAGAGAGTTCTGACTAATTTGAGTTAGCCTCTTTGTCATGTGGGGCATGTGCACACATGTATAAAATATCTTTATACATTTGTGGATTATATTTTTTACGAATCCCTGTGCTAGGGAAATGCTAATACAGTATACATTTTTAGGCATTTATGTATCAATCGAAATGGAGTTTGAATTTAAGAATGAACTTGAGTTGACAATGGAGACATGGCATAGTGAAATGTTGACTATCTGAATTTCAGATTTGAGTTAGCCTGTTAAAGTCTTGTACCTAGGCTTCAGCACTAAAATGAATATTTTTTTAACTGCTTTAAGATGTTGCTTTTGTAACTGCAAAGAGGTGGGTTCCACTTGCTGTCTCGACAATGTTTCGCCGTTTATTGTTTTTTAGGTGACCGTTTCCAACCGGCTGGTGGCCTCTCCATGCTGCATCGTGACCAGCACTTACGGCTGGACGGCCAACATGGAGCGAATCATGAAGGCACAGGCTCTTCGTGACTCGTCCACCATGGGCTACATGGCCGCCAAGAAGCACTTGGAGATCAACCCAGAACACCCCATCGTGGAGACGCTGCGCCAGAAGGCGGAGGCAGACAAGAACGACAAGTCTGTCAAGGACCTCATCATTCTGCTCTTCGAGACGGCCCTGCTGTCTTCGGGCTTCTCGCTCGATGACCCCCAGACGCACTCCAACCGCATCTACCGCATGATCAAGCTGGGGCTCGGTAGGTTTTCGTCTTAAAGTTGTACGTGTCACTGCCCCCCCCCCCCCCGTTCACAAGATGTCAGTTGACCTCTGCAGTGGCTATAATGATTTTGTGACGCAGGTTTGTGGATCCAATTGAAAATGTTTAATACTGGGAAATATAGTAGCAGCAGGTGGTCATTTGAGCCTATTGCAGCAAATAGAATGTAATGTCTATTGGGCAGTTGAAAGCACATCAACCTAATATGATACGATGCATGCATCGATTCATATTTGGCCTTTATGCAGAGGTCGACGGATGGTTAAATATCACATTAAACTTTAAGGAAAGTGTACCGTTTGAAATGAGTAACTTTTTAAAAATCTTACCGTTACCATTTTTAAAGCCGCCAAAGTAGTGTCTCCATACTGCTTGCTAATTTACACTTTCGAATAAAGCCAATTCGGCAAATTTTTGGCATTGGCCCTTATAAATAATTTAGTTAAGCAGTTTTAATGTAAAACAGGATCTGTGTTTTGTGCTTGTACACCATTCTATTATCATTTGTTGCTGTGCAACCCCCATTGCTGGTTAAGGGTCAAAAACATGCACTAACACCCTCCATGCTCTGTCGTTTTTCACTTGTGTAGGTATTGATGATGACGAACCCATACCAGATGAGAGCACGCCAACTGTCACTGAGGAGATGCCACCACTGGAAGGAGAGGATGCTTCCCGGATGGAAGAGGTTGATTAAAAACGCCTGACCAATTTTTTGGGGAGCAATAGTATACACCTTGCTTTGTTGCAGGGCTCAAATAAATGTGCACATTTTAGCGATCGTGCATCCAGAGTTCCCATACTTTGTGTTTAAGTTGTGTGTTCTTTGCACTGTGAAAGTTAAAATACAGGCTTCTGTCCGATGTGTTGCTTGTGCGCACGTTTCGGTTCAAACCCTCTTTGTTGGCAGTACATAAAATGATCTTGGTTTTTTGGTAACTTGAATAAAGCATTGCAGCCTTCTGGGAGGCCCCCCTGATTATGCTGTTTGAGTCGTCTTTGTGCGTTCTGATGAGTTGTAAGGGAAAACTACGCTACAAAATTGTGGATTTTAAGCTTTCGTGACTGCAAGGATCCATACTCTTTGGTTCTATTCGGTAAAGTCACGTAGGTTATTTTTTACCTACGTGACTTTACCGAATAGAACCAAAGAGTAAACAAAATTGTGGTTTGAGATTTCACATTTTAAACTTGTTTAAGTGTGGAACAATTGATCTCGCCCCCTCACAATTGGATGACATTTAAACTGGTTATTTGATTTAAGAAGTCTTTTGCCATTCTGAAAGGTGTGCCTCTTGTAGCTATATAAAATAACATCATTTGCAGATATTGTCAATTCACTTGCGCATGAATGCCTGGGGTTGTTTGGCCATGCATATAACCACGGTGGTCGGTGAAAGGTTGGATTGGAAATTTGCCCAGACATCACTGCCCACCAATGTTATCCGTGACTCGTAATTTAACTTTCATTGTTGGGTTTATAACTGCACCACTTATTCCCCCCCCACCTTTGCAAAGTACCACCACACATCTATGCCTGCACACACCTCAATGCATGCATAATTTTAAAGCATGGATAGCCCTACCTTATCGCATATCCAAACAGCATTAAATGAGGTTGTACAGCCTTTGTTTTTCCAAGCTAAAGCTTTCAACTTTGAAAAAATGTATTACAAAGTGCAGATCTGGTCAATGTTGGCATCGCTTTCCTATCAGATGGGAGCACCCAGTCCCTACCTCTGATAAGTTTGGTCCAGCGCTCACTGATTCCCTTTATTTGCTCTGACGGTTGCTGATTTGCCATTGCAACTTCCACCTCTACCAGATGGATGTTTGTTTCGTATGGTGCTGATGCTGCAGGTCAAAATAACTGCATGCACTGGGGAATTACGGTACTTCATCTTGTCCCAAGTTCAAGCTTGCTCAATTCATACGATTGCACCTTCATTATGGTTGTTGCTGGCTGCTTTGTCTTTTAGGGTCTACTCGTTTAAAATATCCAGATGTAACCCTTTTCAATGCATAATTTGTATTGTACTGATTATAAACCGTCTGCAATGCTATGAACATGCACGTTTTGACTTTAGGTATGCATGCATCTTCAAAAAAATCCTATACTTATACTCAATTAAAATGTGCAAATTCATCAGTTTTACAAAATGGAGTGTAGCAGTTCAAAGTATTAAATGCATTTTGGCATGTTTAAATGAATGCTTACATGAGGTCAAAATATATACTGTGAAAGCAGATTTTGACACCGTTTATTTCGCTGTGTGCTGGGTTGTGCGAGTGGTTGCACAAACATCAGAAGCACCAAGTAATGTCTTGCAAGCACTTCCCTTTGAACCACCAGGCCATGAGTTGGTTGTGTTCAGATAGTCTTGCCTCTTGTCGAGGGTCCCATCCACTCTGGCCCTGTGGGAATGTTGTGTACCACAGAACATTACAAATTACATCCAATGTTCTCTTATGCTGTCCTAAAGATAGGAAAAGTCCCTTGTTCGGGATGTTAAATAGACCCATTGTGTTTGATGCGGCTTTGCTTCTAACTGTATTGCCACCTTGCATGAGAAGGTTTTTTTTGGTGAACTTGTTACTCTACAAAGTACTTCAGCTTCTTGGTTCTTTCGGTAAAGTCACGTAGAATGGAAATAAAATAATAAAAAATAAAACAAAAAATAAAATTTGTTTTATTTTTATTATTTTATTTGCATTCTAAAAATAAAACAGTACATTTTTTTTATTTTATTTCCATTCTACGTGACTACCGAAAGAACCAAGAAGATGAATCCCTGCAGTCACGAAAGCTTTAAATCGAAATCTACAAAGTACCTTTTGAAGATTGTGTGTTGGTCAAGAATACAATTTTGATATGGGGGGGGGGTAGTAAAAGATAGTCATCAATTAGATTGCATCAAATCTCAAGCGAAGCAGGGTTGAGATATAATGGTGCCTCGTCTGATTCTGGTTTTGAACCTGCACTGACCAACGTGGTCAAACAACTTGCAGTCGGGAAATCTAACCCCATCCAGCAGTCTGTTGTTGACAAAAAAGGGCTGCACATTTGTACTTGAGTAAAGTAACTGCCCTGAATAGGTTTTGGCACCGCGATGGTGAGATTTTACCGAACTTGCCTGGTATGCAGGAGGTTGTGGGTTCGATCGCAACCCTGACCCCTGTATATTTGGAGTTTGCATGCTCTCCCCGTGGTGGGTACTCCGGTTTTTCCCTCCATATTTAAAAACCAGCGTCTAGTTTTACTGCTATCACTTTCCACACAATAAGACGCTTCGTTGAGCTTTCATTTGTGGCCAGGTCGTTTAAGGAAAAACTGCTATATAGCTCAGTGGGCCTTACCTGGTAAAATAAATAGTTGAGAAAAAACATGCAACTATATATTGTCTAGTCTAGGGGTTCAGGTTGTGTAACTTGGCCACTTCGGGAGAATCCCGAATTGCATTTTTGGTGAATTCAGTAAGTGAGCTGGAACAAAACATCAATGTTTTGTAGGCTGCTGATTAAAATTAAGCCGTTAATTGTCCTTATTTACAGATGTACTATTTTTTTCAGAATAATGTACCAATTTTGTATGTAGCCCATGGCTTAACACCAGGGAAATTGATGGGATGGGCAGTGGTGCACTGAGGTCATTATGTTCGGTCAAAATAATTCGACCCCTTGACTGATTTTACTGTTTAAGTGGTGTTGCAACCCTATTTCATGTCAAGTTTTAGTACAGGGTGTTTCAAAAGATGGACCCAATTTCAGAGATATAGTGATTTCAAATCGGGTCCATCTTTTTGAAAGACCCTGTATTATGCAGTCATTAAGCCACGGTGGTTGTATTTTGACATCTTATACACCCATTTACCACCTGATAAGCATGGCATGCTACATTTGGCAGGAGAGGCTCGTGGCCATCTGGCTCAATTACTGCACCATCTGGAGTCCCTGATCAGTACGCCTGTGACCGTGGATGTTGTGAAAGCCACGTGACTGACCAGCGTCTGTCACGGTATAGTTTTCCACTCGGGCAGTTTCACAAGCTACTCAGCCTGACAAAATATATTACAAAATAATCTCAACACATGGGATGTCGTTTTGAAGGTAATCGCAGTTTTTTTAAATGGTCTTATAGTTAAAGAAAACAACTTTGGGTAAAGTTATTGGCTTGGCAGAGACATAACTGAATGCACAATGACCACTAGCCTAGTGTCGATGAAAAAGTTTGTCAGAATACATTCAACACCCCGGTCATTTTATGAGCAAGGTTGACAGTTTTTTGTTATCTGGTTGGCTTACTAAGTCCACAATACAGGTTTTTTTGGGTAAGGTTTGTCACGTAAACAGAACATGCCAACTCATTACTAGTACAGCACACCGGTGTGTTGGAGAGCCAAGCCACAACATTTACAATCTGAGTACGACGTTTCGCCAGTAATGACAACTAGCTTCATCAGGCGACAGCCAGATGTGGAGAAGTCCACCTGTTTCGTTCCTTAAACAGAGGCGTAGATTGGCATGCTCTGTTTACATGACAAACCTTATTCACTAGCCTTTTGCCCGTCCAACGACGGGTGTATTGGAGTAAATATGAAACTTTCAAGTGAAAAGCAGACGGCAACGTGATATTCATTGCATCCATTCGTGTGCAGTTTGTAAGGGCGCGGTGACACAGACTTATTTCATTTGAAGGTTATAATCCCTTGTTCATCACTACGTCCTTTTTACTTCGATGTCTCAACAGCGTTACGGAGATCGCGTGACGTGAGGGTTCTGCTTTTGCAGTGAGCGTTGTAAGTTGACGCCGAGGAGGGGGAAGGAGGCGCCTCGGCCCCCCATGTGGAGCGACGTCACCCGCTAATTATTATGAATTGGGGGGGGTGTCCATTTGGAGGACGTCACCTTATAATAATTATTAATGAGGGGGGCTATTCGATGTGGAGTGACGTCAACTGCTCATGATTATTAATGAGGGGGGAGGGTGCTCCATGTGGAGTGACGTCACCTGCTCATGATTATTAATGAGGGGGGCTGGTCGCCGTGGAGTGACGTCACGAGCGTTGCACACAGACATTCTTGGCTCATTATAGTCGATAATAATGGGGGGGGTCCATTTGGAGGACGTCACCTGTTCATGAATATTAATGAGGGGGGCTGGTCGATGTGGAGACACGTCACGAGCGTTAAGGACAGACATTCCTGGGTGATAGTAGGTATTGGCTGTGGCGGGTCTCACGACACATTTACATATTTACGCGATCTAACCCAAAAACAAAAGTGTATTATGGATGAAATTGGTCGCGAAAGCCACTTCATAATAACACTAACGAATAACCATATCTTGAGAGTGTCTAAGGGGTCGTCCATAAATGACGTCACGCACCTAGGGGGGGTGGGGGGTCAGACATTTGTGACGATGTGTGACGAGGGGGGGGGGGGGGTTGACAAATGTGACGTCACATCAAAATGCGCAACTTTAAATAAATATAGACAACACGTTCTACTTAATTAAATAGACTTTTTAATAAATGTTTTCTCCTACAACATCAGAGTGCAGCGCCACATTAAATACGCACTACAATGACAATAGTTTAAAGCGATTTGAAGCATATTCTTGTTTTATATATATTTAATTATTTTATTGTTTCCCTTCAACGTGACTTTACCGAAAGAACCAAGAATATGAATTATTGCAGTCACGAAAGCTTTAAATCAAGATTTGAAGCATGTTATTTTTTTTCTTTGGGGGGGGGGGGGGCAGGGGCAGAGCTTTGTGACGTCATATTTGAAGGGGGGGGGGGGGGGTCTGACTTTTTGTGACGTCGTGCAAAATCGCGTGACGTCATTTATGGACGGCCCCTAAAAATGTGCATCTGAATTGATGTCGCTGCTCTCGAGGATGAACTGACGCCCGTGTGCATTGTCACCGTGGGAGGAGGTGGGAAGACCCTGCGAGTGTGCCACCTCCGCGTGTGCTCCAGGTGAGCCTCCTTGAGAGCGGAGCGCCAGGCCGCGCTTAGACAAGGCTCACACAGCTGGCACTGCGACCACAGTATGCAGAGGGGGGGACGCGGGAGGAAAAGTAATTAGATAACCTCGTCGGTTTTTTTTTGTTGTTGTTGCTGTCGCGGTTGCGCCGTACGGTATAGTTATAGCTCTGATGCGCCTTTTGTGTCGTGCCACGCATGTTCATTAGAATAATGTCTTGACGTTGCGCTCAAGAAGATTCCAGCACGTGGTGCAAAACGCCCGACATCGTATTGAACGACACGCGGTACAACCCAAAGGGAAAACATCAGAGCTATACTTCCACGAGATGTTGCGCTTTACAGATCCAGGTTGAACATTTGTGCTTGGCGAGTGTACAATGTGTCCGCAGAATTGAGGGGTGGGTTCCCCTGATATACACGTTTCTTTACAAACCCCTGTTATTTTTTGTGACACTTTGTTCTCGTCTATAGCTAGTGTCACATTGCTCTTGTAAGAAAAAAAAGCACCTTTGAAACATCCGCAAATCACAAGCCTTATCTGGAATTCAGTAGTTACTGTTCATAGAGTACTCATCTGGGACTGCCCGGCATGTCGGCACGTGACAATTATGTGCAACTTTAGAGACACAGCAAACAACTCGGGAGTTATTTTGCATGTTGTCCAATTTTGAGATGCAGGAAGTTAAGTTTTCGATTTATCAAAATAGTTCCATCATATGGAGGACACTGCCACTCCTGGTGACCACGTGGTTGGGATGAATAGCCTCGAAGAGGTATTCTACTGGCTCAATTCATGATCAATTTAAATTGAGTTTATTAAAAAAACACTTGGAAATTGCAATATAATTACAATTTAATACGTGTTTTGTTGTTACCAATGACGATTTAGACGCTTCTTTTTGAAAAAAATCAGCTACGTTTTACTGTTATTAACCTGGAATGTCTGCTTTACAAACAATCATTTTGTGGCATATCCAGGTAATGGTGTAGCACTACGATTTTATTTAATAAAAAAATATAGAGAGAGTGGGTTTAAACTTGTGAAGCCAAAATATTGGTTCGTATCAGTTGATTTTAAATCTATATTTACAAATGCCCCATTATTCCTGGTCGCTGTGTGCTTGGCTTTCACAAGCGGGGGTCGTGCAAAGTACTTGACAGTGTTGGACAAAAGCACAATGAGAGTTGGGCGTAAGGACAAGTAACTTGGCCATGACGCGTACGCACTTTGTGTTTGCAGGAGTCCCGGCAGTCGTGCAGACAGAGCTCGGGGTGCGTCTGTATGTCACGATCGCTCACCTGCATGGCCACACTGCAAAGTGGAGAGGGCCTAGTTAGTTAATGACGATCCAACTCGTTAAATCACGATTCTTCAATCGTATATTTTCAGCAGGCCACACGTGACGTCAAATGTCACGTGTTTATTTAACTAGTTGGAATTTTTAAGATATTTACAAAAATATAGATATTTCCACGACTCAATATTTGAATAAATTGTGAACCTAAGTTTAGATCAATTTGGAGATAAGTTGTCACCTCTGCCAATACCCAAAGAAGTTGGATTTGTAATTTTTATTCTGATAAAAAACAATAGACATTTGCGGTTTAACATACATCCCTTGGCAGTGGCACCAGAATGTTGTTGCTTTAACTAAAGATGCACTGCAGGTGTACCACAGGTGTGCTGAACTTACCTGTGTGTGTCACCTTGGATGAAGCTGGTGGCTACCCCCACCAGCTGTAGTGTGCTGAACAGAACCTGTGTGTGATCCATGGAGGCATAGGCTGATGCTTATAAACTTCACATTCTTAAAAAAAATTGATATCTTATCAGAGACGAAGTATCCATCTGCATTAACCCACGACATTCAACATACATAAATTATAAATAATCGTTTCGCGCACGCGTGATTTAACTTATATCGCTAGCATAATAAACATTGTAAATAATTACTTAAATCAATGCATCACTACGCGGCTAATGATGCAACTTCAAAGCCCTGTCCGGGTAAACTCCTCACTTGAGGTGTGACTATTAAATGTGGTGGCGGGCGGCTAAGGAGGCAGGTGATGCAGTTCTCTTCCTCACCCACCTGTTCGTAGAGGAGTCTGTTCGGTGGGAAGTGTCGAGAGGAGAGATTAGGAGACATGTTGACCTGCACACACGTGACATGTGCACTCTCGTCAGTTCAGGGTTCTTGGAAATGTGTGCGAGTGCCCTCGCGGACGTTAAGCCGCGTGTGCGTACGCACGAGGTCCTCACCTCCATCAGATGAATGTTCAAATCCTCGTCGAGCAGGAAGTCAAACCGGACCAACTCAAAGAACTTCCTGTAGCAGGGAGGGAGAGAGAGAGAGAGGCAGGGCCGTGTGGGCTCAACTTCCAATCATACGCATAGTCATAGCCAGCAATCATTTGATGCGCTTTGGGCGTCGGTGAGTGTGGTGCTGGGAAGTCATTGATGGCGGAGCATGTGATGAGCGTTTAGAGAGAGAAAGCTAACAAGGGAGGGTCAAAAAAGGAATTTGCTACCCCCCCCCGCCAATGTTTTGTGAGTCATATACCATTTTGGAGATTTTTCCATAAAAAATGTGACTTTGTATTACAGTATACGTCCTCGAAAATGTTTAGCTGGGTGTGTCACTTGGAGAGAGTTAGACACATTGTAGAGAGTGATCAGTGGCAGTGTTACAAGTGATGGAAAGATTGACTTGTGGTTGAAAGAGTGACATGTGGGATAAAAAAGAACGATGAATGGTAGAGAGAGTGTCCAGTGATAGTTTGAGTGATATATAGAGAGAGAAGGGCAGCATAAAGTGACGAGTCATACAGAGAGGTCTTACCAGTGTGAGGCCTGTCCCTGCAGCGATGCATTGAGCTGAGGCTCCTTGACCAATAGGAGGTCAGCAATCGCCTTCTTGATGTCATCCCACAACCGTTCTGGGGCCATGCCTGCAGCAGGGAGAGCAGTGGGGAAGAGTCTAAGGCAGCTTTGTGCAATTCTCAAATCTTTAACACTTCGTGCAAATGTCATTCTCTCCCAATTGTGAGATCATCGGCGTCGTTTCGTGCAAATGAATCCATTATCATTTGGAACTCTGCAGCGAGCAGCGCATCACACTGCATCAGAGAATGACCCCTGAATATTATGTCACGGAACTGTTGCTGCACTTGCTGCAATGGGCACCTTTATCCACACTTCGATGGTAGATCTTTTAATCTCCTACAAGAGCGGTAAAACAAACTGTGAAACGCCTTAAGGTAATGTGCGTGTTTGTGTGTGCACGGTTCTCTCTCGTGTGCATATTTTGTATTATGTGTGTGCTCGTACTTAGCGCGTGTGTGCATCCATGTCTGTGTCGTTCAGTGTCTGTGTCGCGCGCGCTGGGGGGGGGGCGGAGGGGTGATGGGTGTGATCCCCTCCCTCCTGCACATTGAGACCCAGAAAATTGGTATTTTATTGACATTTACCAAATTAAACATGATTTTTTTTAAATGTAAGAGCTCTGGCGTCACCAGCTCTGGCGTCACTGTGTGTCTGCGGTTGTGTGTAAGTGTCACGATCTTTGTCAATGTGGACTGTGTCTGTCCTGCGGTAGTGGTAGCGGTTAGCGCGCTGCGCTGCGCAACGAACCCGGCGACCCGAGTTCGATTCCCGCTCACGGCCAACACAAGTGACGAATTATCTGAATCGATCCCGGGCCTCCCCTAGGTCGACTCAGCCTCAAATGAGTACCTGGTGCGTTGTGTAAATCGTTGCTACTGGGGAGACAAAGGCCTGCCGGCCGTACTGCTGGCCACCCACCCCCATCGTGCGGCATGGCGGCCTTCAAAGGTGCTCGCTAACAGCACTTGCCCCAACAGCCTGTTAAGGCTACACGGGAGATCTTTGTCTCTGTCGTGCACTCTTCGATGTGACCCAGTGCGGCCCCACCTCGCGAGCGCAGGTGAGCGGCCAGCGTCTGCTTGTGACTGTACTTGTGGTCCACATACGCGCGCCTCAGGGATGGCATCTTCTCCCCAAATCCCAGGAACAACAACGACGAGAACATACAGTGACAAACTAACTATATGGTGCACGTGTGGTGATGATGGTGGTGGTGGTGTTGATGTACAAGCTGGTTTTTTTTGTCATTGGCTCAATCCCGCTTAGCTTACAAAATCTGATGAGATGGGTCCGCGTAGCCATCCTGCTTGGATGGGTGACCACATGACATTCTGAGCGGCACGGGGCAGTGCAGAAAAAAAAGCGATTGTTGTACTGTATTCTACTCAGTTTAACACGTAGGCTTTCGCGACGAATATCATCCATGATACAGGTCTTTTTTTGGGTTAAATATACGGGACATCTAACGCGATATAACCCCCAAAAAACTCTATGTATACTCTTTGGTTCTTTCGGTAAAGTCACGTAGGTAGAAAAAATAATAGATCCACGACGATTCGATCGCCAAAACGTCGTGATCTATTATTATTATTATCTCTACCTACGTGACTTTACCGAAAGAACCAAAGAGTATGGCTTCCTGCAGTCACGAAAGCTTCAAGTCACTACTCTACGTGTGTGCATCTGCGTCTCTGCTGCACGCCTTCACCAACAGACAGTGACCAGAATGGTGACATCTGGTCAAATAACCCCCAACAACGCGCATGGCGTGGAAAGAACTTTGTCCAGCAGTGGATTGATCAGTGCATGCCGACGAATGATGATGACGACGAATTTTAGTGAGGGGTGCCGGTGGGCCAGAATAAGAAGCATCTCACCTCCCACGTTGGGGTGTATTCGTCACCCACCACATACGAGAGCACGTCCCTGGGGTCAAAGGGTAGGTAATTCTTGCTGCAGAACCTAAAGGTGAAAATAAGAAGTATGGGAACGTATATATGCGATAGAAATCTACGTTTCACCATGGTCGGCTACATTTAGAAATCGTCACCGCCGCCTGGATCCTGCTTGCTGTTTGCCAAACGAAGCCGGTGAATGCTGATCCTGGTTGCAGTTTGGCACAAGTGCATAGAAAATGATGCAGGCTTTGCTCAATAACAGCCAAATGTTCATGACATTCACAGGAATGAAAATCTGAAATGTTGCATCGGTTCAATGAATGGCAGGTAACTGGGGAGAATGAGATGCTAGTTGTAATGCCTTGTACAGGCAGTGGCGGCTTGTTGTTAGGGAGCGGTGGGGCTGGGCTCCACACGTGAAAAAAGAAAATCCCCTTACTAACACTTTGCTGTGTTCGGGTTTCTATACTATTGGTACAAACACTCACCTACCTTACTCTTTGGTCCTTTCGGTAAAGTCACGTAGGTATCAAATAAAATAATTCACGACGTTTCGGGCGCAACACAAGCGTCCGTCATGTCTCCCCAGTGGCACCTGATGATGGACGCTTGTGTTGTGCCCGAAACGTCGTGATTTATTTTATGTTATACCTACGTGACTTTACCGAAAGAACCCAAGAGTATGGATTCCTGCAGTCACGAAAGCTTCAAATCAAGATTAGTCACCGACCTGCTTCGTACACCCCTCCCCCCAGTCCCCTCCCCCCGCCCCCACCACCTTCCCCGCCCCTTCCCCCACCACCTTCACCTGCCACCTTCCCCCCGCCCTACCCCCCACCACCTTCCTCCCGCCTTACCTCCCGCCACCTTCACTCGCCCCCACCACCTTCCCCCGCCCTACCCCCCACCACCTTCACCCACCACCTACCCCACCCTACCCCCAACCACCTTCCCCCCGCCCTACCCCCCACCACCTTCCCCCCGCCCTACCCCCCACCACCTTCCCCCGCCCTACCCCCCACCACCTTCCCACACCCCCCACGAGCTTCCGTGTTCCACCAATGTATTTACCCCCTGGCCACCGCCGCCTACAGGCACCGAATGTGAATTTAGCAAGTGGGCCGCCTACCGCATGTCCCATTTCTGCACGATCCACCAACCCCGCTGGAGTGCAGCGGTGAGCGCGTTGCACTACAAACCTGGCGACGCGAGCTCGATTCCCGCTCATGGCCGACATCGGTGACGATTATTTGAACCGGTCCTGGGCCTCCCCTAGGTCGACTCAGCCTCAAATGAGTACCTGGTGCGATGTGTGAACATCGTCACTCGGGAGACAAAGGCGGCCGGGCGTGGTTGCTGGGCCACCCACGCTCTCGTGTGCCGTGCCGGCCTTTATCGGTGCTCCCTAACAGCACTTGCCCCAAAAGTCTGTTCAAGGCAAATAGGAGAACTTTGTCTTTGTAGCAACAAATGATCAGCTTAGGTTTGTGCAACACCCATAAACGTAACAAATGTCTCAAGAGCGCAGCATAACACGTGCGGAACGGGAGGGTACGTGAGGGATTTATAAAGAGGGCACGGGTTTGAAGAGGAAGGTTCCTGATGAGAGATTTGAATGCAAAGAGAAGTGTGGGCCAGGCGGATTTGTCCGGGGAGGGAGTTCCAGAGGCTGGGTGCACAGTTGCTAAATACATACATAAATAGGCCACAGTCCGTGAAGCTGAGGTAGTGGGCTGGGGCATGGTGGGTGGAGAAGGTTGTTTTCGAGACAAGCATGGGCAAGGCCGGGGATGGATTTGAACGCGAGTTGATATTCAGCGTGCGCCGAACCTCAGCAGCACCTCCTCGTCGTACGCGTACACCCGCAGCGGCTGCACGGACGTCACCACCACGTAAATTCCCACGTCGAACTTCCTGCACTCAGCACGCAGATCGCAATCACAGCGTCGCCGATCAACGGGAGGTCGCTCCTTTCTCCCGCCACTGCAGCGGCCGTTGCCTGGAACATCTTCCTCCCCGTGGCCATGCGCACTGCCAACTGCACCCCGTGGTCAACTTCAAGGCTCCTGTCACCTCCGATGAGCGCGGTTGGCTACGTACGGTGCGAAAGATATCCAACGTGCACACGTACATAAAACAAAATCGCCCTGAATGCGGTACAGCAGTAGGTTCGTGAAAATATCTGTGCGAAACTTTGAGTGTTGCCCCCTCATATGTTTGGATTCCTTCTGGGTGCTCCCCGCTGCTCCGCTATGCTGCCTTCTAGCCTCCCAATGCTCTGCTCATTGTTGTGAGCGTCTCTTTGTCGCTTCCCATTGTGAGTCAGTGCCCAGCGGCCCACTGGCGTTTTTCCCCAAGTCCCCCTCCACAAGTGTTTGAACACACGTGCGTGTGTGTGCGCACACAGACACATGCACGGGCTGACCTCCCGTCAATGAGCAGCGGTCGCTGAACGAACTCTTGCACGAAGACGTCTGCTCCCAGATGCTCCAAGTCTACGGGGAACGCGAGAGAGGTGACAGTGAAAGCAAGTGGCAAGAGCATCTGCCACGAGACCAGTTCCATCTTCCACGGCAGGGCCGTTGGTACTATCAACAAAGCATGTTTTTTTTTAGCAAGCCTGGCTGATCATAGTCTACAAAAACTATTTAAAAAAATTGTTATTTTACCAGGCAAAGTCCACTGAGCCATATAACTCTTTTTCAGAAGTTATCTTGGCCACAAATGATAACTCAACGATGTGGCTAATCATGCGGACATTTATAGCAGCCAAATAGTCTAAACGCACGTTTCCAAATGTGGAGGTAAACACCGGAAGACCCGGAGAAAGATCCACGCGACCACGGGGAGAACATGCAAATTCCAAATATACAGGTGCCGGGTTTGGGATCGAACCCACGACCTCCTGTATACCAGGCGAGGTAATTAACAACTTGCAACCATGGCGCCAAAGTCGGCTTAATGCTGACCATTTTGGCTGTTGCTAACCATTAATATCGGCCTTTCGTGATCTCACTTTGCCGCCATGAACACCGACAGCTGATCTCACCATGCGGGGACACGATCTGTATTCCGCGGTGGCTCCTGGACTTTTGAAGCCACAGCTTCTCGGGTTGCTCCTTCGCCTGAGGAAATTACAAAAAAATGCCCAATATCGGCTTCAACAGGCTGTTCGGGCAAGTGCTATACGTGCGTGTCTGACAGGTGGTGCTGGTACATCTGACGCACACACATACCAAAACAAATCAAAGACCTCTTTCCCTAAAATCTTTACCAGACTGTTGGGGCAAACGCTGTTAGCAAGCACCTAATAAAGTGGTATTGCTGTGGCCAGCACCACACGTGGCCGCCTTTGTCAATCTAGTGCTGAAGTTTACACACTGAATCAACCTAGAGGAGGCCCATGACTGCTTCAGATATCACTCGCCACTGACCTTAGCCATGGGTGGTAACTGATGCATACCACAAACTTCATTTAAAATAGAACAAAGTTCTATTTTATATTTAATAATGCTTGTTTTTTTGTAATTGTTAAATGTTTATGTATCGTGTGATGTTCCCCTGTAATGATTAGTATTTAGGCCCCGTATGCTCTTGTGTTCGACTTCATTTCAGAATATGTGCGGAGCGGTGGCTGTGGTGGTTAGTGCACTTCGCTATAAATCTGGCGATCTGACTCTAACTTTTCAGAGACGACTAACGTCAGTGGCGAGTGATATCTGAACCGGTCCTGGATGCCCCCTTCGCCCACTCAACACTGACCAAAGTGGTGAAGTATGGTCAAACAGTCCCCATCACTGACACGGCATGGAGAGCACCTTCATTCAGCAGTGGATTGACACTTGTATGTAAATTATCACCTTTATTATTATTATCACATGGTCTATACCGTATTTGCATTAGTGTTTGAGGTCTCCTTTGAAAATGAAGTGAAAAGTCAAAGGGACCTTGGCTGGCGTGGAAACTTGAAGGCTTTCGAGTACATTTTTACCACGTACCTGAGCCACCAGCAGGCGTGTGTCCTCCGGAAGGTGGAAGGCGCGGGGAATGAAGGTGAGGTTAGTGTAGGCGACATGGAGTTTACTCGTGAGGAACCCTGAGCCGGGGAAGTGATTAATCTGACAGCACGAGGACACAAAACATCGTCATCAGCGACATCATCATCATCAGTAGCATCGTTATCGTCAGTATCATCATCGTCAACATGATCGATAAAACGACCGATCATTGTCAACATTGTTTATTACAAGAACGACGACGATGATGATTTTTTTTTACATTAAAAGTGTCGATTATGAAGATGCCCATGCCGCACCCAGCGCGGGAGGATGGAGGGGGGCCCCCAAGGAAGGAGCCTGCTGAAGGGGGGGTAGCCGTGCGCCCAGAGGAGCGACCAGCGGGACTGGGGCCCCCCACGAGTGAATCCGAGACGTGCGAGGACGCGGCGCACCTCCTCCAGGTCTCCATCGCCGCCCTGCTGCAGCGCACCGACACACACAGAGCCACTGGTCACACCGACACACACAGAGCCACTTGTCACACCGACACACACAGCCCGACTGGTCACACCGACTACACACCGACACACACAGAGCGACTGGTCACACCGACTACACACCGACACACACAGAGCGACTTGTCACACCGACTACACACCGACACACACAGCCCGACTGGTCACACCGACTACACACCGACACACAGCCCGACTGGTCACACCGACTACATACCGACACACAGCCCGACTGGTCACACCGACTACACACCGACACACACAGCCCGACTGGTCACACCGACTACACACCGACACACACAGCCCGACTGGTCACACCGACTACACACCGACACACACAGTCCGACTGGTCACACCGACTACACACCGACACACACAGAGCCACTTGTCACACCGACTACACACCGACACACACAGTCCGACTGGTCACACCGACTACACACCGACACACACAGAGCGACTTGTCACACCGTCTACACACCGACAAACACAGCCCGACTAGTAACACCGACTACACACCGACACACACAGAGGCACTTGCCACACCGACACACACAGAGCGACTTGTCACACCGACACACACCGACACACACAGTCCGACTTGTCACACCGTCTACACACCGACACACAGCCCGACTGGTCACACCGACTACACACCGACACACACAGCCCGACTGGTCACACCGACACACACAGAGCCACTTGTCACACCGTCTACACACCGACTACACACCGACACACACAGTCCGACTGGTCACACCGACTACACACCGACACACACAGAGCGACTTGTCACACCGACTACACACCGACACACACAGCCCGACTGGTCACACCGTCTACACACCGACTACACACCGACACACACAGCCCGACTGGTCACACTGACAACACATCGACACACACAGCCCGACAGGTCACACCGACTACACACCGACACACACAGCCCGACTGGTCACACCGACTACACACCGACACACACAGAGCGACTGGTCACACCGACTACACACCGTCTACACACCGACACACACAGCCCGACTGGTCACACCGACTACACACCGACACACACAGCCCGACTGGTCACACCGACTACACATCGACACACACAGTCCGACCAGTCAAATGATGATTCCCTTACTCCGGGCAGTGCATGCAATCCATTGTTGTACCCAGCGTCTATGGTCCCAGGGATTTCTTCCCCAACTTCACCAATCCACACTGACCATCGTGGTGAGGTATAGACAAATGTGGAGCAGTGTGTGGGCTTTTACCAAAGGGCTCTACATTTATCCTGTAGGCTGATGCGGGGAATAAAGCGCCTTACAAACGTGGTGGTGGCGATGATGATGATCCACTTGCTCATGACGATAACAAAGATGATGATCCTCAAACTCTTTGATGCTCCAATGATCCCCCGCAGTGCCATTGCCAAGAGGTTGTAGACCAGTGTACTCACGTGTGGCGGAAGCAGGCAATAAACCCTGGGCTCCGGCTCGCGTGGCCGTGCCCGTGTCTCCGCGCCGCTCTCAGGACCCATCAGCTCCGGTCCCGAATCCAAGACCTGGTTCCTCCACCTCTCGCGCATCTCCTGAACGAGGCCCGCGCTCATTACGAGTCCCATGGTTGTGCCCAGCAAGACAGCCCAGCAGCGGGTGCCGCCGCTGGGACAGGAGCCCCGAACCCTGCTCCGACCCCTGGCCATCCCGGCCCCTGTGTCACCATAAGAGCCCCCCCCGCCCCGTGCGCCACAATGCAAGGGGTCAATTTACAAGGTCCACGTGTCAATATAATGGTCCCAAGTGTCACCGCGAGGTGTCACCAAATGGTCGTCGTGTCACCTGAAGGGTCCGCAAGGGTCCTTGTGTCCCTACAAAGACCCCCGGTGTCAAGACGCATCCCGTGTGTTACCGCAAGGGCCGTTGCGTGCCTCTACACTTCTCGGGGCCGTGTTGGCCGCGGCAATCCTCGTAGCGGAAATCACCCACCCAGGTCCCCCTTTTTCATCCGTGGCGCTGCGTCAACTGCAGGAGTTGAGAGTTCAGAGGCGCAATGACCACCAACAACAACAACACAAAGACGACGATGGTGATGATGAGCAGGACGACGAGGAGACTGATGTAAGCCGTGGCGGGAGCAGGAGCCGTGGACGGAGCTGCATGGATGGAGCTTGCGGGAGCTGGAAGAGCGCAGAGGAAGAGCGGAACGGAGTTTGGAGGAAGCTGGGATGGGGAAGATTTGAGACGAGTGCAGCAGAGAGCCGGCATTGTTGTAGACGCGAATTCTGTCCGCTAGATGCCGCTCCGATCGGTGCAGCTCCAGACCCAGCTGCTCCTGCTCGGTGGTGGTGGTGGGAGGAGGAGGAGATCAGAGGGGGGATACGGAGGAGGTGAAAGGAATGCGAAGGGGAACGGAATCCCGGCCTATGCGATAAGCCACGTTGGAATACACTTATAGAGCCATGACGTCAATCCACTGCTGGATCAGGGCCCCCTGGTCCACACCGTGGGACTTGATGAGATAATTTGACCGAACTTCGGTACGCTGGTCAATGCGGTGTTGTCGAAGGCCGCGGCTGCATTGGATTGCAGTGCAGCAGTGGATTTTGTTGCACTGACCAATGCTGACAACATCGAGCAGCGGCAGAAGCCTATAGCAGATGCTCTTTTATGTGACCTGGTCAGATCTCGAAATCTAAGCGGACTAGAAGGCTATTGTCCGTAGATTTTCTCTTTATTTGTCTGACCTGTTGTTAGTTACCCTTGGGACGATCCTAAAAATCTGATTGTCTATGAATAGTTCACAGTTTTCACACACAATGTGGATCAAAAGCCGCCGAGTTTCGTCTCTTGGAATGTAAATTCTGCCCTGTTTGTCCTCATTTAAACTGGCTATTCAACATCACGGCAGCTTAAGTGTGAAACTGTGAATTCGATTTGACAACATAATTGGTATTTTTAAAAACGAATCTTTATTATGGAATACTTTGATGTTGTCTACCGGCCGAATCGCCTCTTGAAAATGAACTTCTTAGCTCAATGGGCTTCATTCGGGAAAAACATTTCTGATTCTGCTGCATAAAAAATAAATGTGAATCAATTATTCAGGAACGCATCACGGAGTGTCAATGCTTTGTGTGAGCAGTGTCCTGTCACATTACGGGGATGTTTTGGCCAGTTGAAGTTGTTCGTGAGTTTGGCTTCACATGGTGTGTGTGGTGGTGGGGGGGAGGATCTACGAGTTACGTCTCCGCCTTTAACGCCGTTTCGCACATACGTCGTCACTTTATTAATACCACGACCGGATTTGCGTCGCCTCAACCCCGTGCTTGCGTCGTTTCATGCGTCCCTTTTACTGGTAGGAACGAAGTTGTAAACTGAGTGTACCAGCCTGCAATAGATTAATGTGTCCGTCCGTCCCCTTTCAAAAGCCCCATACTACCGTATACCGGGAAACAATTCCTCATTTTTAAATGCAATTGTTGTCATTTTTCGGCCCAGCCCTTAACGATTTTATGATACATTGCTCCAAAATGAGCAGATTTCAGTCAATAAGGATTTCAGCATTCCATTCCTCTACAGAGGTTGATTTGTCCGAAGAACCCTCAACGATTTTGAGGGCAAAAAGGTGGGAAGACGCTCTCAATTTGCACAATTTTACGTAACAATGTCATAATATTGCGCAAAATTCCAATGTTCCTACCAGCCCACCCTGCAGGGACCTGTTCTCGTATCCATCGCTTCTCGCTCAGCCTTCGCTTCGCTTTGCATCGTTTCAATATTCGTTGTCGCACCTCATGCAAGCCAGCTATAGTTCTAGGATTTGGTGTTACATGTTATTTATGTAGCTTATTGTCAAAATTCGGTCACAGTCCTTGTGATCACTGTTACGTCGCAATTATGGCTTTACTTTTTGGTGATTTGGAAAACGTTTTTTTGGTTTGGACATGTTTTGTTTTGTTGTATGACGGAGTTAGACTGATGGCCTTAATCTAAGTTTTGTTGTGGTTGTTGTTGTTGCTTGACTTGCATCCCACTGGGATTTTTGCACACAGCGTTGGTGTACGGTGCTATTTTCAGGAATATTTTGCTGTTTTTTTTCCATGGATTTTCTGTTTGCACAGTCGCATAGTCACTTTAAGATGTTTTTCTTGTTCGTGTTTTTGTTTTTTTTGTTTGTTGTGGTTGCACCCGATTCAAGAGCCGAATGGCTCACAGGGCTATACCAAAATAAACTGAACTGAACAGGAACGCATCCTCGACGTAAAATGGCTGTAAAGAGTGGTCCAGACGTCTTGTGACCCCCCCCCCCCCAACAATTAATTTGACCCCCTAAACTTATTTATCATTTGCATATTAATTTATGTTTGAAATAAACCTTACTTAAAACATATGAAGTTTTAGATAATTAAATGGGGAGGTAGTGGTGGGGGGATCACAAAACATCTGGACCACTCTGCACATCCCGGAGAGAGAGAGAAATTCGCCGGTGACGTCACCCCGCGTCGACGTCGTCGCGCGTTGGGGGGAAAATCCGATGACGTCATCGCGCACGAGCGCGCTCCACTTACGTCGGCGTCGGGGGGGGGGGAGGAACAAAACGGCGTGCGTGGTGACGTCACGCGCAGGGCGAGACCCGGACGTCAATCGGGCACAGGCGCGCGGTAGCCTCCTCCTCCACCACCACCACAGCCGCCGCCGTCTCCTCCTCCTCCTCCATCGCCCTCCTTCTTCCTCGCTCGGCGCGCAGCTGCCGTCCTCGTCCGCCGCGTCCCCTTCCCCCCCCTCCCGCCGGCCCGCCACGGGGTTCGCGTTCACACCCCCCGCCCGCCGAGAGTTGTAACGTGGGCGCGTTGCGTGTGTGCGTGTGTGGTTTCGTGTCTCTCCTCGCTACACCTCCGTCGCCTCGCCGGGAGTTCCAAGATGGTACGTAGCAGCCGCGGTTCGTGGAGGGAGTGGCGACGGCGGGCGGCGTCGTCGGCGGCGTCGGGGGCGGCGGCGCGGTGTAGTCGCCAAGTCGGTCCTTCGTGCAGTGTTTTAGCGGCCGGGTCGAATCTTTCAGGGCAGGGCCGCTCGTTATATATCGCACTGTACAAACTCACCCGCGAGTGCAGCGGGATAACACTGTACGCACTGTACGTACATTGCGGGTCCGGCCGCGTGCGCCGGTACTTGTTGCGTTGCTTTTTGCAACCACACGCACGGCGTTGTGCCCCCCACACCTCCCCACACCCCCCCACACCTCCCAGGCCGGAACGTTGTGGCCGGGGCCAGCCGGCCGGCCCCGGCTGTACGTTGTGCCGCGCGAGCCAAGTGTGTGGAGCTGTGTGTGGGCACCGGCGACCGGACCAGCACTGCCCTCGTGTACTCGCCCCCGCTCTCTTTCACCGCATGACGGCAATGCAACGAATGGCAACGCTGTCTGTGCCCGCTGAGCGTTGCGTGCTGCGACTTGTGTGGGTTTAACGCGCGTGGGGCGATTACTGCTGTCATTCGGTGAAGTGGCTGGTTGACGATGGCCAGTGACGATTAATTGGTGCGCACCGCACAACTCTGCCCAGGGGCACGCCAATTGTAAGCGGAGTTGCGGTGGTGCCACGCTTCGCGAATGTAATCGTGCAGTGATGGAGCGTACTGCAATGCAGTGACACTGCAGTGGCACTGCACAAGGTCTTTGACGTACAGAAGTTGGATACCGTTGCACGGGTTACCACGCCAGAGTTCTCCACTAGAATACTGTGCAAACCAATTGCCACGGCATGCACAGTTGTGTGTACTGCAGGAGTTAAGTTATTTAATAGAGCCTTGGTATTGTTATTATATACTGCGTGTGTAGTTCACAGGAATCGTATGTTCTGTAGTGCACTGGTACTACGTCATGTAATCCAGGATACTCGTGTGAATTATGTGTGTATGGTTTACCACTAGTCATCAATTATTAATGCATCTCCTTTATCTTGCCTTAACTTATATCCTGTTATTTATCTTATCGTGGGTGAAAATAATCGATGTGCTTTTTAAAAAAAATCGCATCTCAACGCAGCTTTCTCCGGTCATCTCCACTCAGGAATGTGAATTCGCAATATCTTAACCACATCTCTCTGCCATGTCTTCTCATCGCACTACACCTGCCCATTGTCTACATATCTTATCATCGCACCACACCTGCCTATTGTCTGCATATCTTGTCATCTCACTACACCTGCCCATTGTCTACATATTTATTCATCGCACTACACCTGCCCATTGTCTACATATCTTCTCATCGCACTACACCTGCCCATTGTCTACATATCTTCTCATCGCACCACACCTGCCTATTGTCTGCATATCTTGTCATCTCACTACACCTGCCCATTGTCTACATATTTATTCATCTCACTACACCTGCCCATTGTCTACATATCTTCTCATCGCACTACACCTGCCCATTGTCTACATATCTTCTCATCGCACTACACCTGCCCATTGTCTACATATCTTCTCATCGCACTACACCTGCCCATTGTCTACATATCTTCTCATCGCACTACACCTGCCCATTGTCTACATATCTTCTCATCGCACTACACCTGCCCATTGTCTACATATCTTATCGCACTACACCTGCCTATTGTCTACATATCTTCTCATCGCACTACACCTGCCCATTGTCTACATATCTTCTCATCGCACAACACCTGCCTATTGTCTACATATCTTCTCATCGCACTACACCTACCCATTGTCTACGTGTTTACTAATCGTTTTTCTCAACTTGCTATATGTCGTGTTTTACTTTTGATTTCCCAACATGTGTCTGTGTGTCTGTTTAACACGGTATGCTTTCGCGACCAATTTGATAAAAAAAAAAGTTTTTTGGGTTCGATTGCGTAAGTTTATGTGGACTGGAAGCGTATTATTAAGTAATACATCTTACAATTACAATGCCTTATAGAAGAAACACATACTAATTCACTGATTACTATTATATCATTACTATACCCCCCCCTCCGCCTCTGATCTCTGCACATGATTGTGACGACCTCCTGCTCACTATTTAAGACAGGAGGCAGGTGGATGGCTTCACTCTTCTGGCAAATCGCCCGTTGATGCTGGTTGATGTAATTACCAGCGAAACGTCGTACCACTAAATTTGTAAATGTTGAGGATTTACTCTGAAGTAGTAACCACTTGGCGTTTTGTTTACGTGACAAGTCCCTTACTAATTGGCTGTGTCGGGTGGTGGAGGCTGAAGACACTTGTGCTTACGCGATCTAACCCGAAAACCTTTTCTATGAATTGTCTATTATGTCTCTGCTTTGCATCTCTCGTCTTGCAACGTATCTGTTTTCTTGTGCGCGATACTTCTCTAAGGGGCCGTCCATAAATGACGTCACGCACCTGGGGGGGGGGGGGAATGTGACGTCACATCAAAATGCGCAACTTTAAATAAATATAGACAACACGTTCTACTTAATTAAATATACTTTTTAATAAATGTTTTCTCCTACAACATCAGAGTGCAGCGCCACATTAAATACGCACTACAATGACAATAGTTTAAAGCGATTTGAAGCATGTTTTATTTTTAGGTGGCGGTGTGGGTGGGCAGAGCTTTGTGACGTCATATTTGAGGGGGGGGTCTGACTTTTTGTGACGAGAGGGGGGGGGTCAGAAATCGTCCAAAATCGCTTGACGTCATTTATGGACGGCCCCTAATCCCAATATATCGCTATGTCTCTCCTCTAAATCTTTGGGATAGCTTAGCAGGCAGCTTCAAAAGGCCATCACAGGTCTCATCTGGCCTTAAGGCTGCTAATTAAACAACGCTAATGTACTCTGATCACCTTGCAGTGCGGTGGCATGGTGCTGCGGTGCGTTGCTCAATGATAATCGTAACACATAGATAGGTACAGTAAGTTGATTGTAAGCATTGTTGCGCCGCAGCACATTGCTGTGGCACGATCCGTGCAGAAAATATACTGCAACTTTCCCCTCGTCGTCCTGCGTGCCTGCTGCACGCATCAGCAGCAGCAGCAGCAACAGCTGCAGCTGCGTGGAGCCAGCCGGCGCACCTGCCAGGCAGTAAAGCAGATGGTCGTCGTTGTTGGTGAAGCTCCCATTACTCTGCGAGCAGATGGGAGGGGGGCTGGGCCCTCCCAGTTCTCGGCGAAGCTCTTGCGGGGCCGTTGGGAGAGGGCCGCGTTATGCAATTCGTCTGGAGGATGTGGTCAAAGAGTGTCACATGCGACTGAAGTCGTTAAACATTTGACGCCCAGAACGCGCCTGTTGGCAACGTGGTCGCAGCAATGTAACGGGTTGCGATACAGAGAGGAGGCGTTTAAAATGATTGGCGTTGTTAATGCCCCCTTTTTTTTTAACCGAGGAAATTCTCTCCCGAGACTCTTGACGGGTTCTTGTAGTGTAGCGCGTTAAAACTGTATGGCTGAGAAGACTGCATGAGTTGATTAAGGTTCCCATTTAGCACGAGCAAACCTAACGTTAAATAATAATAATATCCTATTTACCATCATTTATTTCGTGGTCGCCTTCTATACGTGTAAGTAATAGGTTAAAGGCACATGTTTTGGACTTCACCCTATGCCCATCCTAGATATATAAGTGCGCTCGTACATGGCCCCATTTCAGTGTCTTAATATCAGTTCCTTAATGACTTGAATTCAAAATGATTAGACATCACCTCCTTGAAATTTTTATTTAACTTTTTTGTTCCATTACAGTGCCACAAAACATGAAATTCAAGTGGTAAAGAGCAAACAGCTAATTTCATGGCCTGACCAAAACTGGTTTTGGCTATATGTAGTTAATGCAAATGACAAATAAGGTATCAGTTTATCTTTTTAAGACCCATGGCAAAACAGTTTAGCTGGAGAGCACACAATTTGTCTAAAGGAATGGTGTCAAGCTTTTATGTTTGGTATAAAAATGTGAATGCTTTCCATCTACATTAACTCATATTTAGAAATGCAAATCGATTGTGGTGTCAACTGTATGTCATTTTGATTGAAAGCTTTCGTGACTGCAGGGATTTCATATTCTTGGTTCTTTCGGTAAAGTCACGTAGAAGGGCAACAATAAAATAATAAAAATATTAAACAATATATTCTTATTTTATTGTTTCCCTTCTACGTGACTTTACCGAAAGAACCCAGAATATGTATGTCATTTGTTGGAAAATTCCTTTGATGGATTTTTTGCTGGCATAAAATGGACTGATGTCTCTCTTGGGGCTGCTTGTGGTGAATACTTTGCTCACTGATTTGAGGCCCAGATGAAGGTATGCTGTGCCAAAGTGTGGGTGGAGGAGCTGTGGGTCCAGGAGCATTGCAGCAGAGAAAAGTGCCGTAAAAGTATTAAATTATACATAACTTGAGTTGTGCTTGGAGCACTTTCAAGTTTGACATTCCACTTTCCCACTTTGCCCCTGTTACAATATGGTTCTTGGGGCTCGTTGAATGCACTCGGCGATTAGCACAACTGACAGATACACTTTGCACAAGTAGTGAAATTAAAAGCACAAGAAGCAACCGTGCATTGTGCTATGATGCTGCTGCAAGGCAGACCTACTAGGATTTATACTCTTTGGTTCTATTCGGTAAAGTCACGTAGGTAAAACAAATTAAAATAAATTGAAATAAAATGAAACAATTAAAACACGACGTTTCGGAGGCAAAGCAAGCTTCCGTCTTTAGGTGGAACCAGTCGCAGCAAAATCGCTGCACCAAGTGGTGAGGTTCTGGGAACCTCGAGCTTACATACAGGTTGAGGGGCCATGTAGGGGACTTTAGTGGAGTGCGGAGCTGAGTTAATCCGTCTGTTGTGTAGATGGGTCATTGTGTGTGTGCAATATAAACGGGAAAAAAATATAAGAAAATTTAAAGAAGATCGTCGAGGTTGTGCTGTACGGGGGCAGTAGAAAAAATGGAAATAGAAAAGTTCGGAAAAAAAGAGTTTGGTATACCACTGCTTGAAATTGCTCTTAGAAATTAGTTAACGTTTGTTATGATTTAAAACGTCTTTCTGAGGATCTGGGAACCTCGAGTTTAAATACAGGTTAAAGGTGGGGGAGGGGGGGCATGTAGGGGACTTTAGTGGAGTGCGGAGCTGAGTTTATCCGTCTTTTGTGTTTTATTTTATTTCAATTTATTTTAATTAGTTTTACCTACGTGACTTTACCGAATAGAACCAAAGGAGTATGAATCCTTGCAGTCACGAAAGCTTCAAATCTAGAATTAACTACTACGATTTGCCCACCTCTCAAGAAGTGGCCGTCATTCACACTCCGTGGCTAGGCGCACAGTCACTTGTTATTTTAGTTCATGTAAGTGTCGATGAAAAGGCGACAGCCATTTCAGAGGTTTAGTTGGGAACATGGCTGTTGATGTACTTAAATCTCCATGTGGTCGACTACATACAGTTCAGTATTAATCAAAGTACGCGTGTCTACCTTTCAAATAAGCAAAGAAAGCCTTCAGCTTGAAGCACAAATTCCATTCTTTTTTTTAAATACGATAACTCTTCATTTCTTTCAAAGTGGCGCTGATTTTTATCTACCGCCAAAAGGATTATTGCTTAAGTTAACCCCCCCCCCCACAGCAACTCTTTCACAATTGGTGAAATATAAATGACTAATCTCTTTTACAGAACCACCCAGCCTAATCTCGTTAAGTTCCAATAATATCCGTGTACAGTACATGTAAAACTGCCTCATCATCGATATGGGAGTTATTGCCCTGTGATAGTGTAATCGTTCGAATTTACTTTCCTGCTTCTTAAACAGAGCTTCGGAAAATCAGTTGGTGTACAAGAAAGTGTTCGTAACGTTTATATTCACAACTCAATTTTTTTTAAAGATATTATATTCAAACCTTCAACTTACTATGATCACAATTTCTCAACAGCCACTTCACAGCCACAACACTCATTTGTATTGCGTCACAGTTGTACTGGGCAGATGTGGGGTTTAAACACCTGGACCATTGCATACCATGTTTATAGAGCGTGACACTGTTGACATTTACCAGTTGTGCCTGTTGGGCTTAAAATATATATTTATATATTTCATTGCTTTTGATAATCTAGACTCGGGCTGGAGGGAAGGGTGTGGTGTGGTTTGCCAATGTATTTCTACATTTTCACAAAGCGATTTTCAAAGCACTTTGGCGAAAAATGATCATAGGTGCGTTTGGTACGACATGCAATAAATATAATTGCATCTCTACAAAGGCAGAAATGTGACTACTGGTGTTTTTTAATTAACTTACTCTTTGTGTGTATTGACAGGGTAACGAGAGCAGCTACCCACTGGAAATGTGCTCCCATTGTAAGTTCTATAGAGTCATCGAACACTTAAGTTAACCCGTCACCTCTTCAGATTGCAGCATTTTTCCCCAATGTGGCAGAATGTCTGCCTTTTGTTGCCTTCTGTACCCAATCACGCACTGGCGTTTGCCTACATTTTTAATCATCGGTCTTGCGCCGAAAGCAACTTCTCACATCGTGAGGATGTGTAACCTCCAGCTTTTGCTCTCTTTTCATCTTGCAGAGATGTGTGATTCTTTATTTGCCGACTTGTTGTAAAATGTGAGCAATGTCTATTGCATTGGCTCGCGGCTTAAGTGTCAACCTCTCCGAATGTGTTTTACCCAGAGCAATACGGCTGTTGGGAGCTGCACACCATTTGGCCGTTCCTTGTCTCTTATCTGGCAGAACAAAAAAGCACCTAACCGAATTTGCGCGTGATGGTCATTGTACGTGGCTGATTTTAATCAGTAAGTGAATTAGGTTATACGGAACTACAGTGTATTCAAAAAAATATTTTAAAATACTCTAATTTTTTTGCAAGGAAACAGTCACACTTTTCAAGCGTTGCACTAGAATTTTTCGCTCAAATAATAAACTCTTGAATCAGGGAGGGCTTTTTAATATGAATATAAGAGCACAATAAGATCACGCAAATGTAAAATATTATAAGTGTAATTTAATGGGTGTTAGATTATTTGTTTTTATTCACAACAATGATGTAATGTTTAAGACACACTCCCATAAATAGGCCTGTTGGACATGATAATGTTCTAATGAGTCGGATACATTTAAATTCGCCTATGTTTATTGTGATAGAAAATCTCATTGAAATAACTTTACTTTATCAGAGCAGACCTGTGTTATGTTTGATTCGGACCTGTATATAAATGTAATATACAATACTTTTCCATTTCGCCAAAGACATGGGCATATAGTATCATATGATTGTCAATACTGTTTTATAATCACATTTTTGTCAAACATTTTATTAAAGGTTCACTCCAAGGCCCCGTACAATATATAATACACACAATTTGTAACATCGTTCACTCTGTTCAACTGCAACATCTTGCAATTAACCTGTAACAGTGACACAAATAAACGTAGTAAAATTGTGCAAAAAAATAGTAATTCGTTATCAAAGGCCGTAGGCGTTTTATATTGGGATGACACTTATGGTAATGTTTGTAAATCATTTCTGACTGAAGTGGCCTGGTTGTAAAAACGCAATAAGACTGGTTATAATACATGTTGCGAGTTATTGATTGATGCCCTGCTGCTATCATCGCAACACTCCAGTTGACGCAGACGAGATCAAGCGTTTGGGCAAGCGCTTCCGCAAATTGGACCTGGACGGCTCGGGCTCACTGAGCGTGGAAGAGTTCATGTCGCTGCCTGAGCTCCAACAGAACCCGCTCGTCCAACGCGTCATAGACATCTTTGACACAGATGGCAACGGGGAGGTGGATTTTAAAGGTGTGCTGTTGGTGGAACGTAGACAATTGTAATTAATGAGAGGAATATGCTGCACTTTTAGGGTGTTCATCATTCGCACCACTTTGTAACAGACAAAATTTAAGTTATATCATTCCTCTATTTTGTTTTCTCCTCTGAAGGGCAATTTATTAAAATATCCGTTGGTGAATTTTTCTGTGTTAAGACATTGTTAATGACTGGTTAAGGGGTGAATTTAGTCTGTACTTGCAGACCACTTTCAAAGTAGTTCCTTTATTTTTTTATGGGTATTGCATTCTTCATCAGTTGTACCATAGTTTAAACAGCCACTTTTTTAACTCATATTTTTTTGGGGGAACCCTTTTTCAACAGCAGATGATTAGTTATGAAATGAGTGAGGTGGTATTTAGAGATTTTTGTATTATTCAGTGGGTTATCCCACTAAAACTGTGGCGATCTGTCCATTAATTTCTCCGTGCCTATCTCTTGAATCAGCAGGCACAGTTTTACATTTACCCAAATTAGCACAAAACATACATGTACCGATGTTTTGTTTTTATCGCTGGTGATCCAGCTTGGACGAATTCACTACGCACATCAATGCTGTTGTATGTTGTGTGGAAGCCTGGAAATTGATCCTAAGAATAGTACTGAATCTGTGGTCTTACATGACCCGAGAGGTGGGCATGATTTCGGTACCCCAACTCTTTCTGTGGTTTTAATTGACTGCTATTTTCTCCGACCAGTAATACATTTGCAAAGGCATTTTAGGGGCTACTGTTTCTGTACACCCGTCTTTTAACATGTTGGTGCCGTGCTGGCATAGCAGCCCAAGTGTAGGTTTTGATGCTCTGCTGCCTTCAGCTCATATAACCTGTTTCATCATCGTGCTTGTTGGAGCAGGAATTTAGTGTTTTTTTTCTATCGTATACCAATAAATGTCAAAGGTTTAAGGTTTACATGTTTGCTCACTGTCTCCTGCAGAGTTTATTGAAGGCGTGTCACAATTCAGCGTAAAAGGGGATAAAGAGCAAAAACTACGCTGTAAGTATTCTGTGAGACTATTTTAAATGTTTTTTTTGTTTACAATTTAAATTGTAGTTACTTTTAACCAATCGGTGACTCCTATAGTTTAATATATAGGGGTAAACTACATACTATTTATGTTAAACAAAATGCATTAAAATGTCCCCCATTAACGAATGGGTGTCACAAGACAGTTATATTTATGGTTGGGAAGTGGAGCTGTGTTGCAGTGGTTCAAGCATGCGCAATGAACCCTTTTACCTAAATTTGATTCCCAGCCACATTTAACATTGGTGGCAAGTGATACCTGAGCTGCTACTGGCATCCTCTCCGTCACCAAACTGCACTGAACAGCTTGTTGAAGTGTGGTCAAACAATCCTATGACCAACATGGCATCGGGGGGAGGCCTTCATCCACAAGTGGATTGAAAAAGCGCCACAAATTAGTTTGTTTATGAAAACACGTTGACTTATGACTATTGACTTATGACTATTGGCTGTTCAATGATGCTACATAATCTGTAGCATCATTGTCATGGGGTGTCTTATAATGCTAAATATTTTTTTTCCGTGCACATGAAGTTGCATTCAGAATTTACGACATGGACCGAGATGGCTACATCTCCAATGGGGAGCTCTTCCAGGTGCTCAAGATGATGGTGGGAAACAACCTGAAGGACACACAGCTGCAGCAGATTGTTGACAAGACTATCATCAATGCCGACAAGGATGGCGACGGGCGGATATCTTTTGAGGAGTTCTGCGAGGTGAGCATATTACAATACAAATAATAAAAACACGTCAAATATTGATTCTTATCTATTCCTCAGCAACCAAAGGGAAAGCCATAAACATACTGAGATGATACTGTAAGAGTCGACTGGAGGCCACGTTTCGATTGTGTAACAGTCACAGGATTGATCAGAATGCAGGAAGTAATGGCCTGGTTTTGTCACTCGAAGGGCATTGGCTGGGTTCGTCTCTTTGACTTGATTTATCCAGAACGGCCTCTTGAGATTCCAGTCTCAGGGGAATGGGATGTTCGGCCAATTCCTAAATTGAAGATGGTTGTGCACAGGAGTAAATTGGAGTTCCAAGTGAAGATGGGAGGTATGGATAACATTTTAAAAGCAAGAAGAAAACAAATACACATTTTTGTCAGTACCCTGCTTTCTGTACTACGATCTTCTGTGGCTGTACTACGATCTTCTGTAGCTGTGCATATTGGAACTTTCACTCATTTGGTGACGTTTGATTTTGTAGCCCTGCATTATTTATTTCACTGTCACAGTTTTTGTGTGACCCACAACCCCCCCACCTCCAAAATGCCAGAATTCAGGCTTGGACGTGGCAGCTACCTGATTGTATCTCAACGCAGCTGTGCTGTGTCAAGTTAGAGTGCAACAAGTTATTTTAAGAAATATCAATTTGCTAATGTGGGACTTTACTCGGTAAAGCCCAGTAATAATTGCCGAAGATGCATGGCTCTTACTGTAAAAAGTTCCAGAGTAGAAACATAATTCACTTCTTGTCTTGTGATATAAAAATGTACGTATAATTCGTGATGGCAAAAAAAATTAAGTACAAAATTATTTTAACATTTTCACATCCAGGACAATCTGCCCAACCACACACACATTGAGATGTTCACGTCGGCGTGCATCGATGAATGGACGTTGGCATAACGAAGCAATTGTGCGCAAGTTTGCAGTCGTGGCTGTAATACCGACGTGCAATGGTCTACTCTCATCTTATATACAATCCCTTTTACTTTTTACAATAAGACATTCGGAACAAATACTTGTACTTTAGTCCTCTGCCCAAAGCTATTTCTTGGACTCAAATGCCCTCCATCATGTTCGTTCTAAAGCTTTTATTTTATATATGCCCACTCCCACCTCCTTTAAGTCTACAAGCAGTATTTATTTCCGTCTCTTTGGCACATTTGCAACATTTCTTCTTTCACTACTTCAGAAATGTCTACACTATGTGCTTGCTTGAAAGTAAATATCGACAAGAATTTTCGACATGACCTTCTGAACATGGTGTGGATGCCAACATCCAATTTTAACTTCCTGAAACTGAAACCACAGTTTGTAACCACATAGGAGATTTGTCACTGCCTGCAACCACTCCTCACTTATTTTAAAACACTGCACGATATACCAATTTCCCCAATTTGTCGGTGTGATAGCACAGAAAAGAACGTGTATTATTGTGATTGAGATGACTTAGTGAAAACCTTTGCCATATCGATAATGAATGTGCTCAAATTACTTTGTTAATTTAGTCATACCTCTTGAGTCTTATCATTCTTCCGAGAAACGACGTCTACTATAATGGATCATATATGTGGCTCGTAGAATTTCGAGACCATTTTAAGTAATTTGAGTTTGTTATCTTGATGTGCATTCGATGAAAAACGGGTTTCAGTGTTACTAATAGGCCTTATTTTGTAGCTATGTACCCAGACCATCTTTAATTGTTAAAGTACACTTGAGAACAGTTTTTGAATATAAAAATGTGGCATCATTCCATGATTGAGGTATTTCATTTTTATTTAAACATTTGGTAAATAGGGCCACTTAATGTATTCCAGTTGAACTGGTCCTGCGTATTTTATGTCCACACTTATGCCCCTTGTCCCCAGGACCTTTTTTATTCTGTGAACGACAGTGTTTACTTTTTCAGTTGCAATATTTGGAACATCCTCATCTTCATCCGGCACATGGTTTGGGTCCTGGGATATGTGAATTATTTTACAAAAAAAAAACAATTCCTCCAATAATGTTATCTCTGATCATATGTTATGCATCCATCTATTTACCTAAAGGGCTACCATTTGTGAATTTCCACTCGTCAACCTCTTTTTGATGTCTTGATGCTCCCATTGGTTTCTGTGATGTCGTCAAACGTTTTAGTATTGTCCTCTGTTTTTTTATTCTCATTTTATCCTGAATTGTTGTACAGAGTTTTGTTTATTCAATATTTTGCCTAACATTTAACTTTCATTACATTTCCTCTCTCAACATGCACGATTCATTGTTGCATTGAAAGACAATGAGATATTGCAACTGCTTGGGAAGACCTTTATCCATCAGTGAATAGAGCATGGCTGATGATGACCTAGGCTGTCAGACAAGAGTTTAAAACGTAAATTAGAAAATAATTTACATGGGCACTTCATTGACACCACTGGGCTTTGGCTCCAATACTGTTTAATATCACTGTAGTTAAGTCACGAGAGTATTTCAAACTGCAGGTATTGTGGTTAATGCAGACATGAATCCTTGTAAAAAGGTTTCAGTTTTGTTGCCAGAAAAAAGGGGAAAAACCCTATTATTACATTTTGGTACTGGCAAAGGAGGTCTAATGATGTTTCACAGTCTCCTTTTCTGTTTAATATGCCTTTCAACATGCTAGACATCTTGACACAAAGCCTAGGTGATACCTAGAAGATAAATGCTATTAGGTTATTGTTTTTATTCTTCAAGCATTTTTTCACGGCTCATTGCCATTGTTTTCAGCACCTGGCTGTTGCTCTTGGCAACATGTTCTCAGTGGCCAAACATCTCCAACCTCTTGCTTTCTGATCACAGTACGTGTCTACAGAACGCGTCTACAGAACGCAATCGTTGACCGTCTATTCGTTTCAGGTTGTTGGCGGTATGGACATCCACAAGAAGATGGTGGTGGATGTTTGAAGTCTCCGCCCACCTCCTTCATCTTCCCCTCTCGCTGGCCTGCCAGGGAGCTGCGCCCTGCTGCCCACCGCTAGTATTGCGCGTCCCTCTCTCTCGCAGAAGTCCCCATTCCGGGGCTTGGTGAGATCTCATTCAGCAGATAGGGTTTTCCCCCCCTCTTGTAACGCATATCCACAAAACGAGCTTCACGTCGCGTCGGTGGCCACAAACGTACCCCCGCGGCCACGCGGACGAATTGATGCATGCAAATATTAGCAAGCGTTGAGCGGCTGGTCAATTAGTCCTTCAATCCTGACATTCAGATTGGTGCACAGCATCAGATATTAGTGTTCTCATAAGGGAAGTCTTAAAATCCCATTGTCAGCGTATGACAAGTGGATTGTTATTAGTTGCGCATTCTTTTTTTAAGGGAGAGAGGAAACAATGGCTGTGTTAGGCGATGTTAACTTTCAAAAATAATTACCAATCGTATTGCTGTGAGAAGTGGGCCATTGCATTGGTTGCAAGTGTTAAGAGTAGGTGGCATATTCTGAACTTTGTCCGTGTTCGTAGGGTTGTGTGCATTGATTTGGGCGGTGAACCATGCGCATGGCAGAAGGTCACATTTAAAAATAAAACCGGTGGCTTTTAAAAAATGATGCGGTGTATGCCGTATACACATCTGCATCACTTGGCATGTGTAAAGTAGGAAATTACATTTTTCCTTTGCCGTTTCATGAAATGCTGTTAACTGGGAATGACTCAAGTCAGTTCCATCTGAGAAGTGTTTACTTCCTGTTACATGCAAGGTTTACTTCCATGTCACAAAAAGTGTTTAACTTTTTTAAACAAGGCAGCATCAATTATTTTTGACAGGGGCATTATAATAAAAGCCTTTGTTACAGCTTCGCTCATATTTCCATGCGCAAAATATTTTTATTATTATTTGGTACGCATAGCTTTGTGTCAGGGGGTCAAACGATAATTGGGAGTCAAAGGAATCCACATAGTAATTTCCACAGTCTTAAGTATTTGGTGGTGTTAATTTCATAAATGTGAATTGCTCCAATGTGGAGCATGCCAATTTCAGATACCTCTGTTGGCCACATCTGGTGTGAGGGACTTTGGAAATGTGATGCAGATTTCTTTACGCTCCTTGCATGAGGCCTAAGATGTGTCTCTTGACGGTCCACGGTGTCTGCTGCTGGTTTCGTTAGACAAAAACCAAACGAAGAAGAAAAAAAACAAACGTGCTAAATCTTTTGTGGCATCAGAACAACATGTGCAGTGTTGTACCACTGTCGTGTTGTGTGTGCTCCGTTGTAAAGTGGAAGGCTTTCATAATTTTGTTCAATTCACGTAGTACTGTCTCGTAGTGTGTATAGATCTGTGATGAATAATGTTGCGCAAGTTCATTGTATGCTGTGCGCTCGATTGTTTCTCTGGTTGGTGCTGTCGGGGAAGACTTGCATGGTCTTAAAGTTACGGGAACACGGGGGTCATTCCGTCAAAAATAAACCTAGATTCAGAAGATGGGCCACAAAGGGAGGCTTGCTGCACCACTATTCCTGCCAAGCAAGATATTTTCACGTTTTAACTGCTGTGGTCTATACAGGTGAAGCAACCTTGAAGTGCTTGCTATGGCCATTTCAAATTTTCAGTAACATTTCAGTTTGATAAAAGATTAAAAACACCACATTCACTCCGTACCAAAATGAGTTATGTAATGGTTTTATGTGACCGTTTTAAGGCTGCAATTCTACAATATATGTCCACACCTTTTCACCAGCATGACAAGATAGGCATATGATTTAAATTATGAAATGTTAATGCCTAATACATACATGTCTCCTTACCATGCTGGTAAATATCACAAAACAAGGAGTAGAAATCTAGTCTTCTGGAACTAAGTCTCAAGCCACTGCTCCTGAATAAGTGGCCTCGTGTTCCCATATATTAATCATTTGTAAATTTGAGTTTGGAATGCAGTTGTGGCTATAGGCTGCAACACACATATGAATGCTTCTTGTCTTATACATGCTTTCACTTTTGTTTATTCAAATTGTGTTTTCTCTTTCCCAATTTCATATGGTTTATGCTCTTACTAAAATCATGGTATTATAATTATGGGTATAGTTGAATACTTGAGTTGAACCGTAATAAGAGAACATTAAGATAGGTTATAATGTACGGATGATCTCTGACATGACTTGTCAAAATAAGATTCCTACGGTGACTTGTTTGGTTACTGCCGTGCGCAAACTTTGCTCGGGGTGTTCCGCTGCCACAAGCTAAGCTTGGTTTCCTGGATGAGAACTGATCTGCAATTGACAAGTCATGTCATTTTTCATTAATGTCAGAATCTGGAACTTTTTTTACACAAACATTTTTTGGGGTAATTTAGAACCGAGTAAGGATTGGGTCACTGGGCAAAAAGGACACATCTCAAGCAACCAGTTCTTGAGTTGAGCTATTACGTGTTCGGCCCAACCTAAATCTCAAATTCAATCGCCATGATTAAAGTGTCTGATTATAGTTGGGCCTCGTGTGATATGGCCCAAACTCGTGGACTCGACCTATGACCTAAATATCACTTTTCTTTTTAATACAGTATCTACTCTCACATAGGATGGAATTGTGCGCATTCAAAATGCGCTCCAGAAAGAAAGATTGTTGTTTACAAGACTGAGTTGAGGAACGTGTACCTACGTTGCGTCTTAAGTTAATCAAAAGATGGCAAACGTTTACAACGAAGGCTCACTGTGTTCTTTGGAAAACTGACCTGGGCCTCTATGCTGGATTTTTTTTGTCTTATCCTCCGTTTTGTGTTCTAACTGTACTCCCATTCGCTGCGCACATCCGTAACAATGAGCTGCCCGGGGCAGTATCTTTAACTCTTTTTTTAATTTGAATCATGCAGCAGCGGTTACTTGCATGGCTCGCAGTGCTTCATTTGGGACGGCACACCATCTGACTAACTTCTGTATCCATGTATCTGTGTTAAGGAATGTGGTTTTGCATAATGTTTTTACTAAAATAAAAGTTAAAAACCAAAAATGGAATATAACTGGACGTTTCATTTTTTTTGTCCAGCTCTCGCATAAAGACATGTTAGGAAATGTATCCTCCCAGGTGACTTGAAATGCTTCGAGCGCACACACACACACACACGTTTGAATCTTTAACGAACAAAACATCACCTCAATATTGGCCGTGATATATTTTCAAAGTTTCGCTTTTAGCGAAGAATTGGCCATGTGCATGACGTTCAATAACATTGGTGATTATGAGTGTTGCATTTGTGAGTTGATTTTTTTGTGGACGCTTATTGTCCTGCTGTGTTAAATAACGTAGCAGTGTGTATTGCGTCTAACTTGTACTTGCAGAACCAGTTTTTTTACATGTGGTTTTTTGAAAGGGGGGAAGTGTAATCTCAAGTGACAGTTTGTTTAAAAATACATGCTTATATGTGACTGCATCGACGGCTACAGGGTGCAATTGCTCTTATTGCGTTTGCCATGCATTTCAGATATATATTTAAAACGTCCCAACTCAAAACAAAAGGTAACTTTTATGCCAAACAAACGTGTGTGTATGTGTGTAAAAGTCTACTTTGCCAAGATTTAAATATGGCTTATGTTAATTTTCCAGAAAGTTCTGCAATATTTTCAATTACAGCTGTCTCCTCCCTTGCACTGTAATTCTATTGTCACCAGATCATCTTGAACTTGGGAAATGGGGTGTAGCTTGTTGGAGGCCAGTAAAAAAAAGACGTTAATATATTGTTTGAAAAAAAGATACATTTTACCGATGTGCAATCAGTGACGAATTATATTCACACAGTTGGCAACGTATGGTATGAAGGAAGGTCCATATACATTTATTGTGGATGTACAGTGGTTCAGTATAAGCGGCAATACATGCCACAGTAAGACCATTTAGATTCAATTGAGGTTGGCATTATGGTTGGATAATATGACTTGCTGAAACCTTGGAGTTGATTTACCAGCAGAGAATTATTTCAAGCTGCCTCCTAAAATAACGAAAGGTTTTGATGGTTTATTGCAATCTAGAAGGCTAATTTATCACCTTGTGCAATGACATTAAAGGTTCCCTATGTTTTACCAAGTTCCTTACAAAAGTGTAAGTCTTTAAAAAATATATCCATAATTGAAATGTAGATTGTGGCAATTCATTATGCCACCTTAATTATTTTGTATTGACTTTTCGGAATGTTATTTATAATAAGCTGTCCCTTATAATGAGGTAGCTCTTGAGTGCATAATTTTTTTTGTATCACTTTTTTTAACGAGTGCTCAGTCAACTAAGTGGGTGACTTAGTGGCCACCACGTTTATTAATGGGCCATTTTACACTAATGTGTAAGCAACTACCTGTTTCCCAAGTGCAGCATTTTCTATAAATTGGGTAATTATCATCAGCCATGATTTATCCACTACTTGATGAAGGCCTCCTGCCTAAGGCATTTTCCATTATTCAACAACTTGTGATGCAGTAGTCCATCTAGTACCTACGCATACCTTGATTTTATTGCTCCATCTCCACGGTGATTTTTTTGGGCATGTTCCCTCCATTGTTAGTCTCGTCCACCGGCCATCATCGCTTCTATAACTTGCATATTTTCTCTTAAGAGTTATTCCACGTTGCTCTGTGCATCTTTCTGCCATTGATCAGTTTTCTTTGGCAGGGTCAACGTTTCTGATCCATTTGTCAAAGCAGGTAATATGCGTTTATTAAACACTCGGTATATTGCTTTTCATTGATATGTTCAGGTTTTCGAAAGCACTCCAATCTGCTGTCATCCGCCTCTAATCCTTTTCCTCGTCATCCTTAAATAACCGCTCGAGGTATTCATACTCTGATGTGTTTCCAGTTGTGTCCTTTTAAACGGAATATATTCAAATGCAGCTTCATAACATTATTCAATCATACCCTGTGTTTAATTTCCATTGCTTATAATGACCGTCATCTTAATATCTGAATGATTGATAGTATTCTTCGTTTATATTTGTAACTTTATTTCTCCAATCCAATTTTCTGAAAGCATCTTCCAATATCATCATGCCATTTATTGTATGTGGACTCGGGCAGAATACATCGCTGGAAGGGATGATGAACCACTTTAAGATTCTTGACGGGAGTGGTATCCAGAGGTTAGAACAAGCCTGAGGTGACGTCTACCGCGGAGATGGAGTCATTATTTCCGCGCATGTGCAGGACCTGTATGGATTGTTGAATAGCAAAACCGACACATGGCGATGGCTTGAGAATACCTTCCTCCAGCCCGTGAAATAATTTGAGACGAGACCCATTTTATGTGCTGGTTTGAAGGAGCACATACCCATAATTTATAAGCTTGTTCATCTTGTGCACTAATGTCAATAACAAGTGGGATGTAACTGATAGAAAAACGCAATTGGAATATCGTAATGTATATGAACTATTAATCAAAACGGATAAAGTAAAAATTTGGACCATAAAAGTCTATCAAGGATGGAGGTTGGGACGTTCAGAATAACAGAACCGGGATACCATTAAGTCACAACCTTTTACGGTGTATTGTGCTTGTTGATAGTTTTACACTTCAAAGAACATTTCAAAAATACTGCACTGGTAAAAATTAAGGTGTCACCTTTGGAGGAAGCACGATAGCACTGCATGTAACAATCATGAAAAAAAACTTATAGTACAACTTTAAACGTCGCACACAGTTGCTCGTTTGCCCAATTGGTCTGTTCGGGCAGGTGCTATTAGCAATCACTTTTCCAAAGAGACCAGCATCGTACGCACGAAAGAGGTTAGGCGAGCACCATGCCCAGCCACCGATGGCTCCTTAGCACTGGTGTAGATGCGCACTCGCGTTAGGCCAAGCCACCCTTTAAAAAATGTCGCATCCGGTATCAATAGCAATACTCGGGTTCCTGGCCAGGATAAATAAAAACCTCCGGCTTGGGTTGTAGTGCTTTTTGCTATTACTCTTGCTATTACTTCCAACCAGACACGCATACCCCCCCACCCCATCCTCTTAAGTCTGCGCACAAGCTGTTGGGAAAGTGCTGCGAATCCCTGTTTATGATGGAACTGCACACCGAAAGGGTGTCGTGACCAGCACCGTGCCAGGATCGCCCTTTTTTTTATTCCCACCAGCATTGATATTGACACACCACACCACGTACTTATTTTAGGCTGCGGTCAGATTTCATTGCAAATTAGCAATGATGCGGTTCAGTAATTATTCCCAGGGCGATTCAATTTTATTGCAGTGCATTGCACTTTGCACAACGAGCAACATTATTTCCAAAACAACAACCATTTTCCACTAAATGAAGGTGACATCACCATGGCGCTTACGCCATGCAAGGTGCACTTCGAAGCCTTGTGAAGTGTTGAAGGCTTGCTGGCAGGAGATCGTGAGACAGGCTCAGGTGGTATGGGTTTACTGACTGGCATCTGGCACTGTTTACGTTCTCCACTGGAATTTCAGCATTTACGTATATACACATACAGGTGGGGGCATCCAAGATTATATCCTGGGTAGGTTTATTTTAAATGCTTGTATACATTATACACCATTTTCATATTGGCTACATGTAGCTGTTTACAAATCACTATTAAGAGACACCCTTTCACCGCATCAAGAATGTCCATATAATACTTTTTTAATAACACTTTTTATGTTTTAGCAAACGTTTAAAAAACTGACAGCATTTGCACATACAATAGTGTTCAGCAGTGTGAAGAGGTACTCAAAGTAACAGTCATTCCCACTTTACAAACAACTTCTTTCATTTACAAACACATTTGTTGCAAATGGACTTGTATGTATTGGCGTTCTGTATAGAATGCGTACAAACCACACGGTGTGTGCATTGTATAAATACACAGGTTTATTTTTTTATTTTTGGCAAATCCTTATTCGCTGCAACGTTTTTATCCAAACCAAAATGTATACAGAACTAACGTATACAAATCAGTTGCACGTGGGCATATTTTTATGCTTTAATTCAAAACTGTTTTCGTAGCTGCTTGTGTGAGTATGTGCATGACACATACGTGGAGTGGTTTGGAAGGCTCAAGTTGGGTTTATCTGTGATCTCCTGATCTCTGTGGTCGAGAATTTCAGACCTCTGGACAACCATTGCGTCCCATTGTTTCTTAGTTGACAGAGCAGAAGCTGTCTGAAGGTCTTGCGGAAAATCCTGTTGCAGAGCGCGTAGCACACCGGATTGACAGTGCTGTTGACGTAGCAAAGCCAGTAGCCGATGTTCCAGAGCACGGGCGGCACGCACTCTGGACAGAAAGTTGACATGAGCACCATGATGTTGTAGGGCGTCCACGTGATGATGAACGCCAGGAGGATGGCGCTTAGCGTCCTGGCCGCCTTCTTCTCCTTGATGAGCGACATGCGCTTGCGTGCCGTCACGTTCACCTTGAGCGCCGCTGACGTAAATCGCTTCGCTGTCGAGAGGTCGCGCATTGAAATACGCGTCGAGGACGACGCCGCGCAGACCTCTCGTGTGTCGCTCGTGGACGAGTGGTCCGACGCGTCCGACTCCGCGGGAGACCTCTCCGATGCCGTCTGCCTCAGGCTCGGGGAAGCGCCGTCCGTCTGACCGCTTCGGTCCGAACAGTTGTAGCTCCGCACTGCCCGTATCCTGGTCTCGTGGCTCGGCATGGGATCCCGCGTGTCTACGTTCTGCGCGGTGAGCCGTCCCGTCACCTTGGACGCGTGCATAGCGCTGCACCTGCCGCTTGGGAGCACCATCACCATCGAGTATATTGCCCTGTGCTTCTTGGGCGCGTCGTCTTTCTCGGAATAGTGGCTGCTTGCAGAAGTAGCGCCGTTATCCTTGCTGCTGTTGTTGCCCACGCGTCTGCGCTCGCCGCTCGCCTGCGGGGTGTCAACGGCCTGCGTTGATTCCTCCTCCTCCTCCTCCTTTTCATCCCCCAACTCCACCATGTCCTCTTCCTGCTCCAGCTCCTCGCGGCCCTCCGAGACGGAGCCCTGCAGCATGGCCAGGTCTCGCGCGCGGTTTTGGATCTCCTTGAAAATGCGCCAGTAAATCGTGGCCATGATGGTGACGGGCAGGTAGAACGCTGCGATGGCTGTGCAGAATGTGATGATGGGCTCCGACAGGAACTGAATGCGGCACTCGTCCGGTGGCACGGTCCGCTCGCCCACGATGTACTGCCAGAAGAGGATAGCGGGCGCCCAGAGCACGAAGGACACCACCCACGCCAGACCGATGAGCAGGGCCGCGCGGTGGGGAGTCCTCTTGGCACGGTACGTGAGTGGCCGCGTGATGGAGAAGAAGCGGTCGAAGCTGATGACCAAGAGGTTCATCACGGACGCGTTGCTTGCCACGTAGTCGAGCGCCAGCCACAGGTCGCAGGCAAGGCTGCCAAGCGCCCAGTGGCCCATGATCATGTAGCACGTGAAGAGGTTCATGGAGAAGATGCCGATGATGAGGTCGGCTACCGCCAGGCTAAGCAGGTAGTAGTTGTTGACGGTGTGCAGCTGCTTGTTCACCTAATTATGCAACAAGAATACAGCACAACAATGCCTTTATTTGACGTAACAGACCGGTTTGCAAACATCAATCATACCCATGGATCATGTACCGCTTTCCAACATGCATTTGTCTTTGGAATAAATGTTTCATTTTATCCTTAGTTGGAAATCTTAAATAATTATGAATTCAAGATCAAACAGTTGCTGCAAGAGCATGGAAATATACAAAAACAATACATGTGTGCATAGCCATTGCTCATAAAGGTTTTACAGATTTCATGAAGATAGACGGTTGTGAAAGTCAAATAGTGTTTTTCCAGTACGCATTTGCACTGAGATAGAAACAGAGAGCTAAGGAATGGCTGTTCCAGGCTGTGGCAGCCGCAGAGAAGCAATCCGTTGAACCGAGATGAATATGACGTAAGGAGAGGGCTTTTTGTTAGAAGAAATCTATACAGTACTGTACAAATATCACCACGTTGGGAATGGGAGATTTACAAATTTAAATGGAGCGTTTAACCCAGTCATCGGTAGTTACATTTGTAAAATGATTGGTGAAGCGGAAAATATTAGGAAGATAGAGCAAACAAAAGCCTGCAACGTTTTGTTGAACTATAGCAGTCAGCCATTACCTTACCCATTGTCAAGACTTACCTTCAACCAGCCTCTGAAGAAATGTATTTGTTTGCAGTTTCATACTTTGTACTTGACATGAACAATGTGCATCACTGTAGTAAAATAATGACTGGTTAAATTTTTCGATTTAAAGCTTTCGTGACTGCAGGGATTCATCTTCTTGGTTCGTTCGGTAAAGTCACGTAGAATGGATATAAAATAATACAAATAAAACATAATAAAATAAGATTCTCACGACGTTTCGGCCACAACACAAGTAGCCTTCTTCAGGTGAATAAACAGGACTGTCCAGAAGACAGCGCTCAAGCGCTCAAGCGCTGTCTTCTGGACAGTCCTGTTTATTCACCTGAAGAAGGCTACTTGTGTTGTGGCCGAAACGTCGTGAGAATCTTATTTTATTATGTTTTATTATTTTACTTCCATTCTACGTGACTTTACCGAAAGAACCAAGAAAATGACTGGTTCGTTTATGTTTTTTTTGTGATTCTATTTGGCTTATGGCTCATTAAAATAAGAAATGTTAATACATACTATTCCATGAAGGATGTAAATTTTAGTTTTTTAAACGAATAGTAGATTATGTATTGATGCACATGTGAATAATGAGAAGCCAGTGGAAGGGCTTGTTGGTGTGATGTGGTGAATGTGGTCACTTTTTGTGAGTACGATTTATGAGCCTGGTAGCCGGATTGTGCTTTGTGACTGAGGGCTTTATTTCACACTGAACGTGTCCCAGTTCGCTGGTAGACTGGAGTAGGCACGTGACTAATAGCCACAGCTTTGACAAGAGGTATAATTGATGTAGTGTGCCGGGCACGGAAATTATTTTAGGAATGTTGACTCGGGCTGTCACCTCGAAGGTCCAAAAAACCAGGACATATTGTGGGAAGAACAATATCTCAATATTTACATGCAATTGAGAGAAGGAAAAAAAACATCACTTGTAATGTTGTTACATTCTCAGGACAGCTTCCTCAAAAATACGAACGTCTTGGGAAATCCGGGACAGGTGAGAACTCTATCGGTGAACCGAGTTTGCCCCCCATACCTTGAAGCTGACCAGCACCAGCACGTTCCCCACTATGGTCGCGAGGCTCATAACGCCCGTGAAGAGACCGATGCCCACCACTTCCAGGACAGAGTGTCCGCCCAGCGGGTCGAGGAGGTGTGCGTCTGGCACCGCCTGTCCTCCACGTGTGGTGTTATCCCAGGGAGAGTAGTTTGATGAGACTGAGGAGGTGGCGTTGGTGAGGTCACGTCGAGGGGAGAGGAACGCCGCGTGAGTGGCATTTAGCTCCTGGACCATCCACGCGGTGGTGGAGTTTGGAAAATGCATGGTGCCTCAGCTGGATGGCCTTGTCCAGGTCTCTCTGAAACACAGGGAAAGTTGTTTTTTGTTTTGTTATTATTGATGAAGTAAATGTATTGTTGGAATGTGTGTTGCTGGGGATGGGTTCTCAAATCTCAGACAGCTTCAACTCAGACCATGAGCCTGCCAGGGTTCATAAAATGAGTAATAGGAAGGCAACTATGATTGCCATTTGATGTTCATACACTCTGCCTTGGCTGTGTTCTTGACACACACACAAAATTTGGCATTGCAAAAACGTATCCTCTAGATCGTGTAGATTTAAAATGTTTGTAAACGTGGCGTTGCGTGTTTGTTATGTGTCATTTGATATCACGGGCACCCTTGAAAACGAGATGATCCGTCAAGGACTTTTTAAAGTGAAATATGTTTTTAAATAAATAAATGTTGAGTGAATTGACATGAGCGCCACCTAGTGCTCGTTTGAGTAAGTACATTTATAAACGCGCAACTCTTATAACTAAGGTTATACTGGTAGGAACCTCCTGGTTACACCAGCCCACAGGGGATTATTGTGTCCGTCCGTCGTGCATCCAAAAATTGGAGGGGTGGGGCTGGGTGGGGAGGGGCTGGGTGGGGAGGGGCTGGGTGGGGAGGGTGGGGCTGGGTGGGAAGGGGAGGGTGGGGAGGGGCTGGGTGGGGAGGGCTGGGTGGGGAGGGGCTGGGTGGGAAAGGGAGGGTGGGAAGGGGAGGGTGGAGCTGGGTGGGAAGGGGAGGGTGGGGAGGGGTGGAGATGGGCGGGAAGGGGAGGGTGGGGAGGGGCTGGGTGGGGAGGGTGGGGCTGGGTGGGGAGGGTGGGGCTGGGTGGGGGGTGGGAGGGGTGTGGCTGAGTGGGGAGGGGCTGGTCACCCCGTGGTGCCCCCCTTATAAAACTCAACGTTTCACCTACTCACGCCGGCTTGTGCCCGCCCTCACAGTCGGGCATATTTGTGGAATCCACCACGTGATGCCGCCGTTGTTGACCCTGGCCATTGACCGAGCAACCCAACGTTCCTACCAGCTCCCTCCGCAGGAGAATGTGTTCACGAGTGCATTACATGTTGTAAATAACAAGTTATCCGCAACGGTCGTCGTTCAATGCCAACTGATGAATTATTATCTGAGCTTCGTGGCGTCTCTAACCCGATTTGAGCAAGTCCTTCATCCCATTCTGTCAAATATTTAAACTTTACAAATGCCAAGTGTCGCACGCCTGTGGCTCAGTAAACATGCGACGTTCGGCCAACGTTGGCACGTGGATGAAACCCTTCGACCAACGTTGGCTCAACGTTCCATGTTTACGAGGGTGGGATTCGGCACCACCACCTGGACATTGACGCTGTAAATCCAATCAATTAATTCATGATATATTGAGGAACGCGTGATGGTAATGATAAAGCGTGTAATGGCCAAACTAGGATATCCTGGGCGTGTGCTTGCCCATTTAATGAGCAAGAATAGACAATAAGTGTGTTAAACTCACCACCGCCGAATATACCCATGTTTTGTTTACGTGACAAACCTTTACTGAATGGTTGGTGGTGGCGGGTTTAACAACACATTTATATTTACGCGATCTAACCCACCCCCCCAAAAAAACACAGCCTCCGTGTTCGTATAAATTCCGTGAATATTAATAAAGTATTAAAGCTTTCGTGACTGCATAAAAATTACTCATTGGTTTTTTCGGTAAAGTCGAATCGAGACAAGATTCCAGGTCTGCATTAAGGATCCTGCATCATATTCTTAGCTCTTTCGATAAAGTCACGTTGAAGGGAAACAATAACATAATAAAATATATAAAACAATAAAAATTCTCACGACGTTTCGACCATAACACAAACGGTCGTCATCAATGCAAACCAACACACCTGATGACCACCGTTTGTGTTATGGTCGAAACGTCGTGAGAATTTTTGTTTTATATATATTTTATTATTTTATTGTTTCCCTTCAACGTGACTTTACCGAAAGAGCTAAGAATATGAATTACTGCAGTCACGAAAGCTTTAAATAAAAAAAACGATCCTGCATCAGTTCACTCCGTGTAATGCTGGGTGAATTGTCTCGTTACACGACTCCAGTTATGTACCAAACGATCAGATAATGTATTAGTTTGTCGATCGGTCACTTTTTGTTTGTTTGTTAACTTTTGGAAGGTATCTCTCTCTCTCTTTCTCTCGCGACACCTAGCGACTTTACGCATTGAAGTTGCCAACGCCACACGGCGATGTTGCTGAGCGTTTAAAGCTTTACACCGCTGCTGCAGTGCGGCACACGATTACGCCTCTGACCGTCTCATTTTACAACAAAAAAACGAATTGTTCTTAAATACGAGTTGAAAACGCTGCGCCAGCTGTCATCTCCGAACGTGGAATACATGTATGTAAATGTTTTTTTAAATGATGTTTGTGAGGTAAGTGAGCAGGACGAGTCGGAGACACCGGTCCCGCGGGGGCGAAGGCGCCGCCTCACCCGGGCCCGTGAGCCCAGGCGAGCCCGAGGCTCCTGGCCCGCGCCGCTTCGTGTAACTTTTACGCGATTGTTTGAGATGTTTAAATAACAAAACAAAAAAAAACCCTCCGAGGCCACTGCGCCTCGTTTGCTGCCCTCGCAGTGAGGGCGGACCACAAGAGGCCGATTTTCTATACCCACGCGTGTCAAAAAGGTGGCTCGGTCAGTGAATAAAAGCGACACGTCCAGAGACCGTGTGGACTTTTGTGCCGCGAACTGCAGCAGCCAAGCCTCTCCACTGTAAATACTCTTCCCCCTTTAACGCATCTTCTGTGTGCGTATGATAACACAGTCGTAGTAATTGAGCACTAAGCTTAGCGATGTAACTATTTTAACTCCGGTATTGTATACATGGCGATCTATGTTATGTACAGTACAGGATGGCCCCGATGTCTTCTGACCGCCCCCAATTAATTGATCCCGAACATTCTTTTTACCCCCTTTGCATGTTTATTTCTGTTTCAAATAAACATTACTTTAACATTTAAAAAAAAGTTTTGGATAATTAAATGGAGGGGGTGGGGTGGGGGGGGTCACAAGACATCTGGACTACCCTGCACTGCAGTGACATTTGTGGGAGACGTGCCAACATCGTGTGCAGAGGCTTTGAATTAAAATGTCTCCCTGCGTGCTGTCTCCCAGACATTCTAGTTTGGGTATCTGTGCACGCGTCATCCATCGGGCGGTGTAACAACATCATGAGGCCGGACGAGTACAAGCAGCGGCGCAGCGTTGAGTACAGGCGGCGCCAGGGAGGCCGACCCACGGGGGACGCGGCGCCACCTGCGGCCGTCAGGGGACAGCGCAGGGGAGGCGGCCCCCATCACCCAGGGAGGCCATGGGACCCCCAGGACCAGGGCCCCGGACCCCATCACCCAGGGAGGCCCTGGGACCCCCAGGGTCGAGGTGCGGGACCCCAGCGGCCAGGGAGGCCATGGGACCCCCAGGACCAGGGCCCCGGACCCCATCACACAGGGAGGCCCTGGGACCCCCAGGGTCGAGGTGCGGGACCCCAGCGGCCAGGGAGGCCTTGGGGCCCAGGGCAGCGAGGGAGGACGAGAGCTGGGGCGGGGAGGGCGCGTGGGTGGAGGGGAGGCCACTCGCAGCAGTATGGCAGGGACGAGTCAGCTGGATTTGGGGTAAGTTTCCCTCGTGGGGTTAGGGTTCCCGTGGTCAAATAACGCAATGGTCCACGCAGTTGGTGGGAGGCCCTCGCCATCCATAGTGTATGGCGATGTGGAGGAGAGCGGTGCTCACGGAGGAAACCCATCGATGTTGAATGATAAGAGCTGAACAATGTGTCCAGTTATGTCAGTCGTCTACTTGCTGCATAGCCCAGCAGATCACTAGATGAAATCCATGTGATTCATCAACCTCCGCCTGCCATTATCTGCATTGGAGGGGTGTGACAATGTTTGGGTTTATTTGAAATTTGGCCAATTTATTTTTGAGTGTTTTCCTGCTTTCAAGCAAGTGGCATGCCCAGAGCAGGCAAGTGTTATGCCCAGCCATTAGAGGGTAGAACTCTCAATTTATATTTTTAAATGTCCTTTAGAAGCCTGCCTTCTTTGGCTTTTAACAGGCTTATCTTTCCTCAGGTTGGTTGTATTACATGCACACGATGTCTCCAGTTGTGCTTAATCTAGAAACACTGCTATCAAGTTACTTGCTTAACTTGATAGCAGTGTAACTGCACCTGACTTGCGTACATCAGAACCCCATCCTCATTATTTTCTACAATGGAATGGCAAAAGGGTGGTGAAACTTGCAAAAAGTGAGTTCTGAAAGTGGCTGAATGACTTATGAGGTTTTAATGTTACACTTATGTCAGACCACTTAGCCACCACTCTTTTCATGGCAGAAGGAAAAGGTGTGACCAGGTTATTTTGACGTTTGAGTAGCAGTCCGCTTTTTATTTGCTCATTCTAGGAAGGTGACGCTGTTATGTGTGATCTGCGGTGTGTAGGCTAATGAGGAGGGAGCGGATGAAGATGTGTGCACGAGGTATGAGGAGGAAGAGCAGCGGCGCTTCTCCCGACGGAAGATTGTCAGTAATTGGGATCGCTATGGGGGCGGCCAGGAGCCAGCAGCTGGAGGTGGGAAGGAGGGTCCCGTGCTGGAAGAGGAGTCTCAGGCCCCACGTGGCTCCGACTTCTCTGAGCTCCTCAGCTCAGCTGGTGGGTGTCCAGTGCCTCGAGTGCAAATGCTGCTGTGCTTTCGTGTTTGTTACGCTTGGTTGCGTGGCTTTGCGATTAATGCAAAGCTTTCCATCGAGCCAGTTTTCACGGCTTAAGGATTACTGCAGTCGCTCCGGTAATCCTGCACATCATTATCGTAGCCAATGTTATAAGGCAGATTTTAAATACCCTTTAGCATCTAACAGAATAGGTCATTGTCTGCTCGTATAATAACATTTCAATTTGCAATATCATTTGCATCAATTGTATTTATATGCAAATCACTCTGAGAGTATTTGTATTGGATTGATCAGTTTACATTTACAATGACAGCTGTTTGTACTGTATGCATCTCAACTGGGAAAATCGCAAGTCAGACAATTTACCAACAGGAGGCAGTATTGGGAAGCTTTACATTCTATTCTGAGTGTATTATAACTAAGGCTGAACCAGACACCGGTTTTAAAATTTCCCTTTGCCATGCTAAGATGTTTAGAATGTGTGCATTGAATGCGCTATACATCCCTGGTGTTGCGTCGTACCACATTTTAAATACATCCTTTGATAACACGGTCCTGTTTTAGTTTCTGGGCAGTGCCACACATGAGTCACCCTGAGACTTAGAATTCCAAATATATTCCAATAAAATGTGGTATCATTTTGAAGTTAATTACGTATAGCTTTAGTACCTATGTTTATTCATTGAATAAGTCAGTTGTTTGATACATTCCTGAACTGATTGCACCATCCCAGCGTGGATGAAAAAGTTTGTCTGACTAAATCTGAGACCATTGTGTGTTATGGGCATTTCTCTCTTCTCAAAAAGTCAAAAGCCACAATGATTGTAATCCAGGTCACTTGTAAATGAGACAATCATGGTCTTTTCAGATTTCACCTGGTTAAGCAAATAAACTTTAACTTTGATCGCCCACATTTTGAAACTGTGGAACTGCTCTTCTGGTTTTAACTTGGAACTGCTCTTCTGGTTTTAACTATTCTCTGCTGACAAATAACAATTGCTGCAAGCAGCGATTGTTATTTAAAAAAAATAGATTTCATTATGAATTGAGATTAAGAAAAAATTGCACCTGCAACTGGGGAACGTTACTGATGTTCGTGAACACTGTTACATTTTAACGTCTGCTCGCAAGCGTGCGTGGCGCATTGCAGTAGCTCCCTGCGGCAGTACCGGGCGGCGTCAACATTTGAACTAAACAACATCTGCAAACCGTCCCTTAATTTGACAACCATGGTAACCATTTGCCAATTCAACTGGACGATATTATTTAAGTAACATGTTTATAAATAACAGGCATACAGTTAACCGCTATTGGATTTCCATTTGCACACAATATGTTGCCCAATTTCATGCAATTGTACAACTCGAGATGAAGACCAAGAGGTCATCATGGCCATTACCTTTGATGACATGACACATCTCAATCACTTCCACCTGTGAGATCCTGTAACCATTGCAAATTTGACCCCATTCGACCAATGATTGTTCTTACCTTCTCATAAATTGTACCACTTCTGTAAAGTAAATGAATTTGTGTGCATTCTCAATAGTACAGTACCATAAAGTATGCAGGCCAGTCGGAAAACTGTTACGGTGTTTGTCCAATCCCATGTCATGATGCCCTTTGCAAGAATATGTAAAGTCTTTGTAAGACGTACCATGTAAAAACATTGTTTTTCAAGTAATTATTAAACGGCACTATTCATTGTTATGTGGGAAAATTATCAAAGGTATTTTTTCTTTTGTTACCTCATCCTTGCCATCCTACGTAGCGTTTGTGATTAATTTTCTATTTATGTGTGTACGGATATTTCAAATCAAAATGTTTGTCTGTAAAATAGAAACCGGTGGTTAATTTGGCAAGCTGTTTGGCTTTTAGAATGCTGACTTTGAAAGGATTTGCAACGATGCACTTTTTCCACCATCAAATTATGACAAGTATATATACAAAAAGTAGAGTCAAAATTTCGACTGCTCAAATAAACATCAGATCAGTGTTAATCTGTATTGATGGCCGTAGGCCAGTAGTGGAGACTTCATATTTCCATATAAGAGGTCAGTCTATCCATAGGGTGGCTACTTTTTACTTCTCACATAGTGGTCCTAATTAACAATCCAGAGAGATGACGGACTGAGTTTTATGCTGATTGGGATTTAAAATGGGTAAACTTCCGATTGTGATAAAAGTCCATAAAAACAAGTGGAACCGTGTGAAGGTTGCACTGCTTTGTGATTGAAAGGTGAGCGTATATCTGTGATTGGTTAGTCAAGCTCCAATTGTCCTGCCAATACAGTCTCAAAATTTGGACCCACTATTTGGCTAATGAAGTCGGAAGCAACTTATAATATATAAGGATGTACCACTAACATTACAAAATATATCAGTAGACAATGTGTCCACATATCCATCTCCACATAAAATATATAAATATTTCTTAGACAGTCCATCAACCGCACAGCCTTCTGGGAGTACACAATTTCGGCAGCATTGTTTCAAGACGAGCAAACTGGACTGGTTTTGACACAATGGTTTCATTAGCACTCAGACTTTCTTGAATCAATGCTGGTGTACTGTCAATCTTGCAGGAAAGTATCTTGTCTTTACGCTATGGGGTCTTAGTTTGACGCAAAATGATATAACATTTTACTCGAAGTAATAATGGGCGGAATTGTGGACAATGTGAATAATGATGAATAAAATAACTAATATATACAGCTCTTAGGTATCTCCGTATGTACACTGTTGCAGTTTAAAACGTTACTCGTGCATTTTTAAAGTAGTTGCATAATGTGTTCACACGCAATATTTTGCACAAAAACATGAGCTTGTCAACACACACCTAAAGAAGATGAAAAATATTTCAACATGCAAAGATACATTTCTGCATTTTAACGAAGTCACACTGGTGAGAAGGTTATTCTTTTCAAACACCTATTATAATCGGTGTTTGAAATTATCAAAGCTTACATTGCACACAATCGATGGTGGGTGCAAGTCTAACAGTTGTTTTTGTCCTTCACTTTCCGTTGCTGATGTTGACACAACATACACATTTCTTCTTTTCAGCAACTTTAGAATTAGTTTAATTCCAGGTACAGATAGCCCTTACAACCGGAAACCTATCAAAAAAGAGCTTCATAGTTCATCGCATTTCTCCAGGACAAAGATTCTGATTCTGAACTAGTTCGCACAGCAAGCAGGCGACCCTAGAACACTGGGTTAGTAACAGAGGAAGTGTGCCTATACATGTAATTATGGGATAAAACATGATTCTTACTGCAAACTTTCACACACAGTAAACATTACGCATCACATAGCTTGCAATGTTGATTTGAAGTATTCGTGACTGCAGGAATCCATCCTCTTTGGTTCTTTTGGTAAACTCACGGACGCTTGTGTGTTGCGCCCAAAACTTCGTGATTTATTTTATTTTATACCTACATGACTTTACCGAAAGAACCAAAGAGTATAGCCTACAATGCTTCATTGACTACCACAGCATGATAGAGTCTCGCGGAATCATAGATTATCGGTTCTCATGCCACAAATCACCTCAGCATCAAAGCTTTGAGGAGCCTCTCATGAAGCTACATACAGCCTAATGGAGTTTCACAACCTCATGCTTGCCAATAAAACTAAAGTTAGTTAAAGCCCAAGAGCAAGGATCATAACATAAATCTCATCATCATCATCAGCCATGCTTAGTCCACTGATCTAGGAAGGCCTCCCCAAGCCATTGCCATCTCTCACAATCCTATGATGTAGTAATCTACCGAGCACTTGCACACAAGCAGATCTCATGACTCCACCTACTCAGTGGACGTCCTCTCAGACACCTTCAACTTCTTGGTGCTACTCCATCATTATTGTTGACCGAAGGCCATCATGCCTTCTGGTGATGTCTCTCAAGCCCACTTCTTGTAAGAGTTTGAATGTGAACCGGCATACATTCTCTCATCCATGTGTTTCTCTTTGTGTCTCAGGGTAACTCCATGCCTGCATTTTTCTGTGCTTTATTGCATACTTCTAATTTGTTTGTGGATTTTTTCATCCATAGCCATGCTTCCGAACCATATATCATCGCAGGTAGTGCACACACATTAAATGCAGTCTTCTTCGGTATGTTTCTTTGGCATGTTACTTTTCATGATCAAGTTCAGCTTTCCAGAAGCACTCCAATATCGTCTCATACACCTTCAATGGCTGCCCTAGGTTCACACACTGACGTCTTTTCCAGTTGTCTCCCCCCCCCCGACAGATATCTCCAATAGTTTATTGAACTTGGCGTACGTGTCCTTTGTTTTTCTCATATTTATCCTGAGCCCAACTTGAGCCTTTTTTATTAAGTTCTTCTACTTAAAGCTGCAGTTATTCCCCCCCCCCCCCTTATCTCTGTGTGTTGATTTTTTTTCATTCATGGCAAATGCTAGTGTTCATAGCTTATCAAATTTCCCAAATGAAAAGGTAGTCCTGCCAACTCACTCATTTTCAATCCTCATATTACCATTTTGAGCTGCAATGAAGGAACGTGGGATGGAATTGCATGTTGTGCTAAATTACATGTCTTTGGGATACGACTAAATATTGGCTGCAATGCAGACCCACGTAAATGCACACAATTCAGTAATTCAGAATTGCTTGCTTCTGCCAGGTTTTTTTTGGGCATTTAGCCAGCTCAAAGCAGCTCCTGTTTTCATTATTTCATGTTCACCTGGACAACAAAAGCTTTTTTGACAATTATGCATTTTTCACAATATTCTTAGAAAGCATATGCCATATGCTGGAGTATATTAGTTTGTTTTTCAACTGACAAAACACAAGTTCCTGCTTACATTCTGTATGCACACAGCATAAAACATTTAGATCGTGCATTTGCCTCTTGAGGCCATATGGCTCGTCCATTTATAAATTGCCCTGTTTTTCACTTTTGGATTCCCACAAGATATGTGTACCTTCACTTCACCCCTAATGTCCTATGTG